GAATTTTTGGTAATTAAATGTAAATTTAGGTTGGTATAATTTAATATTTGATTCTAGATTTTTGAAAATTTTTATTTTAGGTCTTTGTCTTCCAGAAAAAGAAACGTTATAACTTTTTTCTTTCAATTGTTTTGTTTCTTGCATAGAATTATAATAATATACTTCTTTTCATTTTCAAGGGTGAAGGTGTAAATTGAAACAAACTTATATAGGAAGTGTTTTAATGATAGGTACCAAGCATAAGATTGGCCAAACAGTTAATCCCCACTCAGCAGAAATAGAAAATAAAGTTAAGCTTATTACATAAGAGATACACTGTAAATAATAATCATATGACTGGGTGTAAAGTCTAACTATAAAGGGTTATGTAGATAATATAAATATTAATACACCTTGTCATTGTTATCATTACTTATCTTCTAGGTCAATCAAATCATCAAAATAATAAACAACTTGAAGTAAATTTCAATAGGTCATATTGACTAGTATTAGTAAACAGAAGATTGGAAGAGTGAATGTTTTACTTCTGGCCTGTGCAATCTTTCCGCAACGACGGGCGACATTTGGGGGATGCCAGTAGGCCATGGGCCACGTAAATGACCATGAATGAATCATGGAAGTAACAATGAGAAACTGCAATTTTTTCAAAAAACGCGTCAAAATTTGTTTGTGAACACAGTAGATACTACAGTTTTCAACTGATTTTAATGAAATTTGGTGTGATCATTTATATTGATCAGATCTTGGTCAAGTTTGAATTTGACATTCTTTCGATGAACAATTTTAGAGTTATTGCCCTTGACTTAGGAAAAACGCGTCAAAATTTGTTTGTGAACACTATAGAGACTACGTTTTTTTAACTGATTTTAATGAAATTGGGTGTGATCATTTATATTGATGATATCTTGGTCAAATTTGAATTTGACGATCATTCGATGAACGTTTTTTTGAGTTATTGCCCTTGAATTAGGAAAAATGAGTCAAAATTTGTATGTGCACACAAAAGAGACCACAATTTTTATCTGATTTTAATTAAATTTGGTGTGATCATTTATATTGATGAGATCTTGGTCTAGTTCGAATTTGACGATCTTTTGATGAAGGGTTTTTGAGTTATTGCCCTTGACTTGGAAAAACGTGTTGAAATTCGTTTGTGAACACAATAGAGACTACAGTTTTCAATTGATTTTAATGAAATTTGGTGCGATCATGTTTATTGATGTGATAATTTGATGTATTTGGGTTATTGATATTGATTTTTAAAAATTTGGTGGAATTTCTCAGCATAAATAACTGGCAGTAAATATATATATCATTGAAGTCAAAGTATTAGAATTTCTTTAATATGAGAAAATTCATACTGTAGTCACTTATGACTGTTTTATCATTTCTGAACGCTGCCAGTGGGCGTATGTTAACTTGCCTGGCAAGCTATCTTGATTAAAAGAAGAAAAATGATTATTTTCACCTCGGTTCATATGTTTGAGCCTTATTTTGTTGCATGGTCTGTAGTGTTTCCCCATAGTTGTTGAATGCTCGTTTAGGCCACAGACCCCTCTCTTCCAAGCGAGATGCAATCTTGTGTGGAAGAAGATGTATGAGTGATGGGCAGTCTGCCTTTGCCAATATTTCGTTTCACTGCAAAAACAGAAATAGTGAACATTTAACCATGCAAACCGGAATGTCTTCATAATCACTGAATGGCTAAATCAAATCTTAAAGGTCGTAATTCATTAGATTTAAGATATTTATTCACAACATTTTGAAAAAAAAGAATAACAGATATATTCCTGAGCTTACTTAATAATTTTGTGGCTGATTTAAGCTCTACTTCTGAATGAACTGATATGCTTAAAATAAATAGACAGAATGGGAAAGTCCATTTATCAGCTGATTTGTACAGATAAGCTGTTATGTTGGCTCTAAATTATCCTTTTACCTCAAAATTCTAGCTTTTGTTTGAGGCCTTCTAGTAAAGATTGATTGATTGGAAACCATTGATCTTTAAGAAAAATAGAAATGACCTATTATATGTTCAATTTCATTGACTACTTCATGAATGAATTTAATTACTGAAGAAACTTCACTATGTGTTTTTATTCATTCATTCATTGGACTTAAAATTCCATGAATCACTTTTGATTTGTTTGTTTACAAATGGTTTGATTTATTCCATAACAAGTGGGTCAAGTAGCCTATAAGTTACAGCTGACTATAAGACAGTCAATGAAAGACAGTTGTTAGTAACTGCCCGCTTTAACAGCCACCCACACAGACTACCTGTAAACTACCTACTACAGTTATTGTTATTTCTTAACTTACTATATCATTCATTCTTTCATGATCTTTCATGCTGTCATATTGTTCAGTGTTTTTATCAACAGTCCAAAGATTTCATTTATTTATTTGTTTTTTTTCTTTTGTTCTGAGTTTGCTCTTTAGTTGGTTGTCATGTTGGTTGGTCAATGAGCAGTGAATTCATTGTAGTCATTCTGCTTCAAAGGTGTGCCTTATTCATACACTCAATTCTAAATTATTTTGTTTTAAGTTAAAAATAATGATGATTGAATAAAGTGAGGTATGAATTAATCAGAAATGAGTAACTAGTAACAGCTGTTTTATTGCCCAATTAAGTTTGTTTTGATGCATTCTGACATAGTCAACTCTTATATGATAGGCTGTGTTGAATTGGTTCTGTGAAGTTATTGTTTTGTTTACGGAACTTTAGCATTATTAGATTTGGTAGGTTTATCTTTTTTGAAAAATTTATTGTTAATTCAGCATGCCTCAGATAAAGGTTTATTGGGATAAATTCATAAAGATTTCTTCAAAATATTGAAGGAAGTCTTAAACTCAGATTTTTGTATTTTTTAACTACATTACAGCAGCTTAAAATCTAATAATTTATAAAGTAGAATTAATGAGCACAATGATCATAACATTTCTTTTATTAAAATTAATTTAATGTGCTTCACTTGCTAAAGCTAATAATATTGAAATATTAGAAATGAACAATGTGGACAGATAGGTCAGATGATTGGGACTAACTAGCCTGCAGCTATTTTTACCTGTCCTGTCTGGGTCTTTCTTAACGAGCTCACAAAAAACATCAAAGAGATGATATTATTTGATGTTGTATTTAAGATGGTGAAAGATGTAAGGTTGTGTTTTATGTTTGATTTGACCTGAGGGTAGCTGTCAATCATATTTTTAGCTGACATCTACCTGGTCAGTTTTCTTAGTCAAAATGACCTCTGGGCAAAAGAGACTCAAAATATAGTTAAAATGCACTTAAGAGTTTCGTTAGCCATTCTTTTTTACGTTATAAAATACTGTTAACTCTTTAACAAGATCTTCCTTTAATGAATAAGATTTTGGTTATTTTGATGATGATGTAGCAAACTTGTGTCATAATCTGGAATATATTCCTTGATTAATTTTAGCTCGTTGGCGCTCGCTCGCCCATCAGTATGTCGGTTTTGTCTGCATATACTTTTGTTACATTTCTAGAAATGGTATGAGCTTGTTCTTTGTACTTACAGCCTTCATACTTTCATATTTTTGAACTATTTTATTATATTGTACTGGAACATTGATACAGATACTATTACTTATATTTCAGGTGCAAACCGAATCTTTGATATTAATTATGAATGAAGCGTCTTTTCAAAAGAGAAAAACACATTTATTCTATCTTCTAGAATGATATAAAAGCCACCTTTATTGACTGCCTGAATTTTATTTAACTCAGTGGAATCGGGAATTACGACTTTGTTAACTAATCATTCTACTCGGTCAAAAGTCTAGCCAATGTTCACGCCGAGAAGACAAGGGCAACGACTCTATGTAGATCTAAAGACTGTATAACCTAGACACTTGACAATTGATATTAGTTTTACTGGTAATATAAACCTATTATAGATAGTGTTAGAGTCGGCCAGCGAGACACGATTATTGATTGATTTGAGTCAATGCTGCGTTGTTTTGACCAGGATCTCGAGCTCTCACTGACCAGACACGCTAATTATATATAATAATAATAGAATGACCTTGTATCTCTTTTGTAACCATATTTATCTTTAACTTATTTCAAGGCTTTAGGAAGCAAAGCAGACTTGCCATGTTTCACCAGCATTCTAAGAGCTCACCATATAATGTTTTGTACCTACTGGTTCTGTTGCATAGAATTATATCTGCAAATTATATATGTAATAAAATAAATTCTTTCTAGGGGTAAAAAGTAACCATTATTGTGAAGAATCTCCAGTGTGGTCCATATAATTTACTTAGTCAACGTGATTATGTGTTAATTCTATTGCCTTCAAAATTTAGTGAAAATGACTACCTTTGGTAGCTTTACAAACCTAAAGCAGAGATCATCAAAGAATCAGAAAGTTTAACAGTATTAAGTTTGAATATAAGACGTACTTTCATTTTATTAGATAGACTTTGATTTTTATGATACAATGAATGAAATGGAACTATTAAACTACATTCATTCATTCCAGTGCAAATCACCTCGCTAGGTTATTGACCTACTGAACAATGTAATAAAGTATCTAGAGCTGACTGTTAAATCACTTCTCACAAATAATCAATATCTAACTTTTAACGTTAACCTTTATTCTTGCTAAATTCATAAATCTGTCAAATAGAAATGATTTGTCCTTGACTAACTACTAAGGCATTTTCTTGTGATTTCTGAAAAACTTTAATTACTTACATAAAATGACAAAATAAACTTAGCTATATTTGTATTGATGCCAATAAAACAGGACAAAGATAGGAAGGCCTCATCTATTAATCTCATGAAATATTATTCTTTTAATGAAACATACTAATTTGGAGAGCAACAGAAGTCCAATGTTCAAGGCAAATCAAAATATTGAATTTGTTTTCTATTTCTATTTCCAGGAAAATTGTGGAAGGGTCGTCAAGTGACGTCAGGATTATCAACAAACAGTGGATATGGTCAGTTAGGCGTCAATAACTTTGTCATTATGACAGACAGCCAGACTCAGGACGACGTGTCCGGGATGCACCATCGGATACCCAACTCATTCCGAGAACCATCAGCGGCTCCATTACGGAAACTCAGCGTAGATCTCATAAAAACCTATAAACATATCAATGAGGTAGGTACGATTGATCTGTGTTTGCGAAATCTTAAAGAAATCAGAATTGCCTTCTCTTCCTCTTACTCTGTTTTCATATTCATCATATTTTAAATTCTTATCTTTATATTCTATGTTTAAAACAGAACATTGCTGTAGGTCACACCAGCATCTACACTTCAATGATTCCAATAGATTTAGTAGAAATAAACAGGAAACAGGAAGTTACTTTCCAAAGATTAAAAGAAAAAAGCAGTTTCAATCTCTTCATATATTTGAATCCTTTTTATACGCCCACATGAAATGTTTTATAGGAGTTATTGACCTTGTCCTTGAAAACGCTTTCAAATTTTTAGCTTAAACACTAAAAGGCATGATTTTGACAAAACTTGGTTTTATTATTCAGTACTGTGCTGAAGATTGAATTTTGACTTCTAGAGTTTTCATGAGCTAAAAATTGAACACTTTTTCAAGAACAAGGGCAATAACTCATACTCAGTATTATTCAGTATCGCCCTAAAGAGTTCAAAAGAAGTGTATGACTGAAGGTTGAATATTTCATACTGGTGATTGTTACGGTACTGGTGAATATTTTTATTAAAAATCAAAGCTGCCAGTGGGCGTATATTACCCTACCTGGCAAGCTATCTTCTATTGTGGCAACTAATGCAGTGATGAAGAAAATTTCTCTTAAAAGCACTGACCCATGTGCAGCCAACCTAATATACAATGTAAGCTTAATTGATCTGTCTTCTATTTTGCATTAAGTAATCTTGTCTTAATTGTTCATAAAAATGTAATCTTGATTCAGTTTTAAGATAAATAAGGTTATATTAAACAATATCGGGACCAGATTTTTAAGAGGACCCCCTCAATGCAGATATGGAATGATGCAGTTTTTCATTCTTGACTGACATTCAGAAGATTGATTTCTCAGTGATGGAAGAGATGAAAAAACAGCTAGTGAAACCCGCATCACATTTAATAATGAAATTGGATGTTACATCTTTAAACAAAGTGTAAAAAGTGTTTGTAATCTTACTATGAATCATATCAGAATGTAAACTAGGAAAATAAAAAAACTGACCAGACAGACAAGAAGGTCTTATTACAGATATATCTTCCTCGTTTATTATGTCTGGGTGATGTTGTCAGTACTCAGTGACTTGTGTTGTAATGACTGGACAATCTGTAATGTTATTGTAATAAAACAGGTACACTCCTTATATTGTACTTTAACTCTGAACGTTACCTGTTCTCCTACTAGCCTATTATCTTATCAAACAATCTTCTTACTTACCTTCATAATGTCATTCTTATTGTCATTCTCAATCGCCATCTAGTCCTCAACATACTCCCGTGTGAATTGAATTGAAAACATTTTAAAGGATTGGTCCTTTCTTTAAAAAAAAAAGTTTATGGTGTATTTAGTACTTACAAAATAGTTGTCTTGATTATGCCATTTATCTGTTAGTTTATCCTTCTTTTATTATGAGTGCTGATTACATTGATTTCTGCACTGATTTTTGTCCTCTTACCTACTTTGGATAATCCCAAATCAGCATTTGAACTAATAGTAGAGTGGTTTATAATAGTATTTGTCGGTATTTTGATTAGTAATAATTCTTGAAAAAATTGTTCATAAATTTCATTGAACCACAATAGCACTAGGTCAAGGTCATTCCTCATCATGAATTCGTAGTCTGTAAAACTTATTATACATTTTATATCATTTATTATTAAAATTCCATACTTGATACAAACTCTACATGATGCCAGATATTGATAATGAAAATCAAAGGAAGTAAATGAGCCCAGTGGGAGTTTTGTTTCAAGAAGTGCCAAATATTATCTATAAACCCAGCTAGATATTTTTTGATAGTGGGCAGTCATTGACTAGAATAGTGATTTATCTTGTATCAGTCAGATAAATCCATCAACAATCTTGATAACAGTACTATTAGAAACTTGATATTACTTTTAGCTTGATAAACAATTGAATGAATGAAACAACTCTATTATGTACTATTATAAAAAGAACTTTATGACCTTTTTTACAATATTCAAGTAATAGAAAATCTGAGGCAAGCTGGTTGACAGTGGTCATGTAATACAAGCACCAAGTAATTATGACAAGCTGAAAGTAGGATATTATCAATTGTCAATGCAGAAAGCTGGCCTACTTATAGTAGCTCTAACAGTTTGAATACAAAGAGTATCAGACTATTCATTGGCGATCTACTGAACTTTTATTCACTGCTGATTCACCTACCTATACAGAATGTACCAGTTTATTCAGATGCAGTGTATACTGAAAATAACAAATTTATCATTTGATACTTGATATTACTGAAAGTGCCAAATTATTTGCTGTGATATTCAGAAAGTCTCATGATTAAGTTTATTATGAACTGGTATATAAAATGAACATAAGTACATTGTTGCATTATCTATTCGCAGTATACTTAAAACATGGTATCATTCATAGTCAATCTGCAGGTAGTTTATATGTATATTATTAGTATAGAATATATAGAGGAAGTGTAACAGTGGTGAAGAATGTAAAATATGTCAGTATTAGTTAGATTATTCTGACTTGATTCTGGAATATTGTCAGACTGACATGGAAGTTAGAATATCTGGTACAGACTAGTTCAGTCGGGTCAGTGGTAGGTAATAAATATACCGTAACATTCTACAGGTGTAACTTCTGTTTACTTTCTCCACATGTGTCAGTACTTCGTTACCATTAATTATCTTATGCTTTGAATCAATCATTACCTTTTTTTCAATTTTTTATCAATATGGAATATTTAACATTGAATCATTGAGTACTTTTTATTAAACAAAAAAATTCCATTCAGGCATCATTTCTTCAATGTCTTTGACCTTTGCTTTTACTGAGATCTGAGCTTTATCCTTGAAAAGTGAGCACTGTACATTGTACACTATTTAGTGGGGTATTTTTGATGTAACCAAGCGGGTTTCTTCGAATTCTTTAATTTCTTCAGAGTTCAGATTAATTAGATTTGATTTTTCCAACATCATAAAACATTTATAACAACAACACAGATATTACTGATAACATATTTTGAATAACAATTTAATTAACCATGTTGTTTTAACTTATGTTAAGAATGAAAGATAATAACGTCTTAAATTGCTTTAATTTATCTGGAATATTTTATAATCATGTTCAAATTCGAACTAAAATATTAAATTTAAATCTTAGACTGTCTGATGAGGGTTAATCTTATCATAGAAAGATAAGATGTTGTCTGTAGGAATTTACATCTAATATCTTACATCTTATTCTAGTGCAACAAAGTCTCAGTTCTCAAAAGTTCTTTGTGAAGAAAAATGCCATGCTAATACAATTCTTTATCACCCCTGATAATTTTGTCAGCTTCTTTATTTAGTAAAAATGTTATTAACTCCTTTAAGTGTTTTGTCAGCCCCTCTCTGAAATATTTTATTTGCTCCTTCGAGTGTTTTGCCAGCTTCTGAAAATTTCATTAGCTCCTTGAAGTGTTTTGCCAGCTCCTTTCTGACAAATTCTTTTACCTGCTTCAATAATTCTACCACTCCTAATGTTTTGTCCTTTCTTATGAATTTTCAAATCCTCTTTTAAAGGATTGTTTTTGTCCTGTATTTCAAAAAGTATTTTAGATCAGTCACTTTGCGACTCTCTTACTTTATTTCTCAACGCCATTGTTTTCTCCTATGGAGAATTTCTGATTCCATCAATTCCTCCTTTAACTCTTTCACTCTTCTCTTTTGACTAGGATCTGTTTAGAGACAGCCTCTATAGACTAGTTCTAAGTGTTGCTGTTCTGTAATAATTATATAGAGATTGAGATGTCTAGAACATCAGCTGTGTTTCTATTGACGTCAATCTACTACCTACCTATTGTTACTATATATAGTAACAGGTGAATACAATATCTTCTTGATTCCATAAAAACATTTTTCTTCTTGAAACAAGACATGAACATTTTAGATTTTCCCAAAAGCTGTGCCTTTGATATCTGAGATACAGGTGTGTAAGCTTACTTGAAAAATGTCCTTTACTAATTGAACCAGCTTGCCCTTGATTGGACAATAAAAGTCTCTGTTTACTTTTCATTCATCTGCCATTCAAGATTTCTGTCTGACCATTTAAAACAAGAGTCAGCTGTTCAAGAACAGAATTTCTGCGAGTCATTCTGACCTTTACCATCCTGATTTTAGTGAGAACATATCTGTTACCAGAAGAAGGGGAACGTCTTTAATTTGACGTCATAACTAACGTCAGAAGTTTGGTGTTCTATGCTGTCTAAAGGTCACTGGGCCATAAACCAGATTTTTTTGGGAATAAAGTTTTGCAGAATTGAGACAAGGATAACCTTCCATTCCTCTTATGTTTATCTCCTAAATTCTTCAAGAATTTGTACTTTTGTATTATATATAAAGGAACAGTTCTTAATCTTATTTCTGTTTCAGTGTAAATGATATTTTGATCATTGACATGATATTTCTATTTTGAGTTTTAAAAAAAGGACAAGTTTCATGTATCAGATGTTATAGTTTAGAGGAAAAAAACCTTGAGGCGTCAAGTCTGTGGCACGATAAGATCATTTAGGCTGGTTCTCTTCGTGTTATTTTAACATGAACAAATACAAATTTTACCTCTGATAGAATTAGATCATCTTACATTCTCTCTACAATGTTTAACGTCATAGAACCATTTAAATTTACATCTTTTAGCTTCTTAGAATTTGGGAGATATCGAAGTGATTGTTGACGTCAAATAATTTTTGTGTAATTCTATTCTTTAAGGAAAAGATGCGATAAAAGAGGCTATTTTAAAGGAGTTATTCTTTTATTACATGCTAAAAACAGTAATCAATAATTTAACATTCTCACAGATGTAAATGAGATTTTTTTTTATCTATGACAGAGTTAACTCCAGAAAATATAATATAAATTTTGTAACCCAGTTGAGATATTTTTTTGACTAAGAATAGGGCCATTCAGACCTTACTTATATCTCTACCTACATCAATAGGTGATATTTCATGCTAGTCTGAATCAATAGTTTTTCTTTCAAATACATCTTTTGATTATCATTTCATACAAATGAAGGAGTCCTTTCTTGAAGACCCTTTGTTATTTACCGGCTATACTCATTGAAATATAATCAAATCAAAAGAGAGGATGGTGAGGATATAATTCTGTTTATGGACATGAAGTAAAACAAGTTGAGTGGGTTACTAAAGTTTATTGACTTGTCAGTACTATAAATATCACATATCAGCCTGTCCTTATCAGTTAGCATTTAAAAATAACTATAGGTTCCATTAGATTAATACAATATTTCAACTTGAATAAAGGTAGCTACAGGATGTTTAACTCTCAGCCAATGAAATACAAGAAATTAGCATGTCAAGTCAATGAATGGCAGTGGATGATGAACAGAGAGTGAAATGAATTCTGGGGCTGGCATTATTAAATCATTGTTGTCGATTATTTGGGTCACATTTTAACTAGGTCAGCTTAATGTCATTGCTTCATGTTGATTTGTCACTGCCGGCACTGGTCTATTGTTATTCGGCTATTACCGACACATGGCAGTCACTCGCCTCACAATAAGCTATATCTCTCTTTAAACTTTTGTGAGGGAATTTATTTTGTGATCCCTCACACAACCACATAACTCTATTGATAATTATTATTGAATCAGTTCATAACCAACCTATAGTGTAAAAACCATTTTAATCCTAGTGTTGGTGTGGCTTTACCTTCAAATCTCATGATAGTGTCAGTCTTTATTACTCGATAGAGAACAAAAATAAGATATCTTGTGCATTAGCATCAACCAAGTACCATTTCAGGCAAATAACATTTGATTTCCAGATATATATTTTCTCTTTACTGAGAGTGCCCCAAATTTAAACAGATGTACTTAATATCTTTTCAGGTTTACTATGCAAAGAAAAAACGTCGAGCTCAAGGTACCCAGGGCGATGAGAGTGGAAACAAGAATCGTAAAGTAAATGTACATCATTACAATGATGGGTATGATGATGCAAACCATGATTATGTGGTCAATCCTGGTGAGAAGTGGTTAGATCGCTATGAAATAGATTCCTTAATAGGGAAAGGTTCCTTTGGTCAGGTAAGATATAGTCTATTTTAATGATTTTTGTGAATTTATCAAATAAAGTGGCCGACACCATAGCGATCACTAGTTGCGTATGGTTGTGAATAAGGACAATGGTCAAAAGTTTCAACCACAACTCTCATGCAACTTAACTTATTCTTGGTTATTCTTAGATTTAAACAAGGGAGTACTGGTTTAACCCCTTGACAGACTGGACCTCAGTGTTTTTATGATCAAACCAGCTGGTCAACATATTACTGACCTTTAACCTCTAACCTCATCTGACCTTATTTAGGTGGTTAACCCAAGATAAGTAATTAGGTTAAACAATGTAGAACTTGAATTGCTTCTTCAATAATTAAAATCTGAATTATTAATATCTTTTCAAGTTTTCTTTCTTTGATCTTTTATTCTGTGCTACATTAAATTTAGTTCATTTGAAGTTAAAAGGGATAGGAAAGAGGTTTCTAAACTTTTCATGTGGATCAGGGACAGTAACAGTATCAATTTGTTAATGCAAAATTTGCTTATATCACCAAAGGACCTTGGAGATTAGAGACCTCATCAAACAAATAGTTTTCTTGGAATTACAGGAACTACAGATTGATGCTATCATTGCCCCCAATACATTTAAAAGTTCAGAAAACCTCTTTACTATCCCTTAAAATGAGCATGTTTGATACGTATATCAGCAGCTTTTATAGACAGAAACCAAAATACTCATATTTCACTGTATTCTTCTAGTCATTGAAAGTGAGAAAAAAATTGCAGAATAGTATAAAGTAAAGTGTAATAAACTTACAGCCAAAACCAATGGCAATGCCAAATTTGACTGACATGCATAAGTTGGGAATAATATCACTGTCATTTACAATTTCTGGCAAAACAAAATTAGGTATAGATTGTCAAAGAAATTGTTCTTATGGATATGTTAAAATACGCACTGAAGTCAACATGTGAGCATGAAGAAAATAAAGTTAATGAATAAATCAGGTGAACAACAACAATATTTTGACTGGAATAAATATAAATTCTGGCCCTCATCTTAATTTTTTCTTTTTAACTGCAAACATCTACCATCTTAAACAAAATCTTTCATAATTGTGAGCATCTTCAACTCTTGAATTCTGTTTAGCTTAAAGGATTTGTAAAGAGGTTTTCTAAATTTTTTATGAGTGTCTGGAACACTGATAGCACCAATTTGCACCATTCAAACTCGCATTCCGTCTGTGGTTCTTGCAATTCCACTAAAAATAACGCGTTTTATGATGTCATTAGAGTTAAGCAACATGAAGCTATTGATATCTATGCAGTTACCCTCTGGTGATGTCATAAGACACGTTAGTTTTAGTGGAATTGCAAGAAATACAGACGTCGGAATGAAAGTTGGAATGGTGCAAATTGGTGCTATCAGTGTCTCTGATACACATAAAAAGTTTAGAAAACCTCTTTACAATCCCTTTAAACAAGGAAAGTAGCCCTCATACATCTCTGCAATTAATGTCAAAAAATAATTATAGCCCAATCTATTAAAAAGATTTTAAAGATGGGTTCCTTATTTTCAGTGTCGAATTAAGCAAACTATTATCATGTATTCTTAATAATATTATGTTCTCATTGCATAATAAGGAATCTTAACCAATCATAAATGTCCATGTATGTACAGTCTACTTCAGCTAATTATGTGAGACAAACTGGAATTTTTACAATTTTTCATTAGAACACCTCTGCTTTCTATTCATTTAAGTATTAATATCTTCATTTTCATAAATGAAAATAAGGGAACCCATCTTTAAGCATTCAAGAAAAAGTTAGTCACTGAGAAAGATCTTTTGCATTTTTGTGGTAAAAGAAATATGATACTCAGACAATTTGATAAAAACATAAATTCAGATATGACAGGATATTTAATTATTTACAAATATTTTACAATATGGTGATTTATATGGATACCAATGTCAGATGTACCTAACTTAGTTTGGCTGGTACTTCAGCCAAACTATTCGGCACCAAATTCATTTGGCCGATGCTGTGGAAACATTGGGCGAATGACTGCGTATTAGTACATATAAGTTAGGTTTTGACTCACATAATGTAATTAATTCCTTTTTACTTTTCTGCGCTCAACATTGCATTCACAGGAGGTCACCATTTTATTTCTCATGTGACGCTTCAGGCATCTGTGATTGGTTCAGTTACAGGAAAGTTTGCTATAGACTTCTCGGTAATGTACACACATGCCGAAGGAGTTGATGGCGATGAATATTCAGGCGAATTATATCAAACACTCTTGATGTTGGCAAATGGCTTCAGCCGATGGTTAGATGAATGTCGTAGCACTGGACACAATAGGCCAGTGGTTCCCAACCTATTTCAGCCTTCACACCCCTTTAGCAATCACGTGAACCTTCCACACCTAAAAAATTTGTTTCATCCACATTTGCAGCATGTGATGATATGAAGTGCTCTCTCAACTCAACTCAACTCACAGTGAAATTTCGCCCATACTGTCCGCAGCTGTAGATCTTTTAGTAAGTGTTCATGTTTAAGTAGCCAGATATGACTGGCAAAGAGTTCAATGATAAAAATACTTGTCAGGTTATTAATTTGTCATTTTGGATCTTTAAGAAAAATACTCTAAAGCTTGGATTGTTGTAAGGGCATAAACAAATATTAAGTGTATTTTTTTCTTGGCCTAATAGCCAGTGTCCAGGCAAAGAGAACAGGTCTGGCTATGTACAGCAATGTAGGTCATTTGGTCATTTGAGGCCAGGGTGTTGTTTTCACTCTCTTTGACCCTTGACCTCACAAATATCTTTGGTATTTTGATGAGGTTTTTATTGGGAATGTTGTATTTGAATTTATAACTGTACATTAGTTTATAAGTTTATCACTTACAGATTAGTTATATATCTAAATTTACACCCCTATTTTTGAATGAAAGAATCACTGACAGACCTGTTTGAGGAAGTGATGTCCAGAGAAATATGTTTATTAATGATTTGTTAATATTGAATATTTTTTTATATCAATGGTTAATTAACATCAAACTTGTTTCAATCTAAAAAGCTAATTGATAAAAATATTCATAATAACATAGACTACCAATTTCTTATCAAATGCAGAGCTTATCGAGGGTTGATAAGGTCCAATAGTTGATAGAGGAATATTATTAGTCTTGAAAAAGAGTGCGAGTGGGGTGGTTGATAAATCTTGACTGCATGATTCAGTATTTCAAGATGAAAAGCAACCAATATTGAGAATACAATGTGAGTGAATATGTACTAGACATCAGTGTAATAGAGCACTGTTTCCAGACGGTCAATGACCTTCAGTGTGAGAGTAGTCCAGACAGTTTCCACACTGACCAGTGGTCAGTCCGTCACAATGTCTTTCTGACATTCACTCAAATGGTGGCCATCTTTTCTCATTCCAAAAGGAAGATATAAAATATTATATTTGTCAAGACTAATTACTGTAAGATCAACAAGTCTTGTCAAATTCATGGTATATTTAGACAATCTTTTAAGAGAAAAACAAGATATTATCTGTTTAGGCTTATGCAAAGAGAGCCATGATTGGTCAAGTTTGTAATAGTTTATAGATTGGCTCACAACGACCTACATTGACTAGGGAAAAATAATGGAGCTATCTCTCAAGATGTGTTTGTATTGAATGGTGTATGTTTTGACGGCTAGCTAGTGATGTATTGACCAAGTCTAAGTAATATTAAGTGGTCACTGGTCAGTAGGCTATTTCTTTTCTTAATGGCGGAATTATTCTTGTCGACCAGTTTAGTAAATAAGTTGTCTTTTAAAATTATCTGATCAATTATTTCTTTCCTTGGTTGATTTGACTATTAACTAATAATTTAATGGTACTAATAAGCTTTTAAGATGTCAAATAAATTTTTGACTTTGTGTTAGTTCATACCAAATTGTTTGTATACAAAATTAAGTTTAGTTATAGACTTAACAAAGTGTCCAGATAAGGTGGTATTGTTGTCCAGAAAAATGTCTATTTTAACTTTAAGTAGCCAGACTGAATTTGTCTGGTTGAGTTAAGGTCTATACATTAAATAGCTGAGTAAATATGAAGTAGCCAGGCGGGTCTGCTGACCAATGGCTGAGTGTCCAGTAAACAAATATGGCTGACCTACTTACAGTTTTAATAAATAGTACCTGATTATACTTAAGTAACATGTCAAATTATTTTTAAGCTGTATATTTGAATAAGCTCTAGGAACTGTTGAAAAAATAGTTCATAATAATTATTGATTTGTGGGGGAAAAAAAGCAACAAATTATCATAATGCTATATCATAAATGTTTGTTAACTATATATTTTACACAAGATCTTGTTTATAGATTTGAATTCAATCACCGAATTCATTGTTTTAATTCTTGGTGGTCGAAGTTATTTCTATTTCTACAGTTTTTATAGATTGTCTATTTCAAGACTAGTTTTAAAATGTCAGAGCCATATTTTAAAAGTTGTTTCTAGTTTTTGTGACTATATTTAGTATTCTATGTCTATATTCACTTCACTGTCTGTTGATGAAATTAGTCTCCAGCCTCCAAGTTTTTACATAAAAAATTCTCAGACAATAGGCTGCTTCAGATTAAAATAGAATTGAACAACCTTTATCAGTCTTCATCATTCTTTTTGTGTTTGATGATATCTTTAGTTCAGATGGTAAACTAGCATCATGTGATTTTTTTCTTGGAGAAATTTGTGAGTGAAATTTATCATGATTTTATCTTGAATCTTTTGATATATTCAATTCCAAAGATGTCAGATACTATTTTCTATCTCAGATGTTGTCTTTTATTATTGAAAATTCAGCTAGACTCAAATTAAAAACTCAAATTAATTTTGATTTACAAAGAAAGAAAAATGTAAGAACAGTCACAAAATTCTTTGCAGCTTCAAATTGAATGATTTTTTCGCTAAAACAAAAACAATAGTTTTATTTTTGACTTTTTTGAATATATAACACAGAAAACAGATGTGTTCTGCATAGTTTCAGATTTTCAGCCCCATAAATGGACCTTATTATCAAGCTTCAAGAATATGTCTAAGCTAACACATCATTTATTATTATATTTATACAGGAGACCAGTTCCATAATATGTAAGCTTACATGTTGTCTTTAGGACTTCAATACTTAGTAAATTCCTGACTGGACTAAGATCTTGACCTTGAAGAAAGGTGATTCAGTGTGGCTATTTATATGTATAGAGTGAAGAATGAATCAAATCAATAAAACCAACTGTCAGAAAATTTTGACGTAGTTTTACACTAGATAAAACAACGTAGATACCTGATTCTTACTCATCATGATGTATCTTTTTTAATCACTGTCTGAGGTTGCTGGCTACATACCAAATTATGAGACATCTTGGCCAATTTAACATGTGATCAATAAGTTTTTATTAACAATATTGATCAGATACGAACATAAATAAAAAAATAAATTAAAAATATTAGTTTTTTTACAATTATATCTGACTCTTTCTCACCCTGTATATAGAATTATGACCCATCATTAAAGTACACTTTCTAAGAAAACAGATTACAAAAGAAGTACAGACTTAATCAGTTTATGGAAACTTTAAAGTTGCAATATAAGTGATGATTGATATGAGACCAATGAGAACATGTTAGCAAAAATTTAATATGATTAGAAAGCACTTGAAAAACTGCCACATTATTCTAGATCAACTATCTATTGAAAAGACAGTCTTTTCTCAATATGAAATATTAGAAGTCCATGAATTGGTCCGTAAATATAAACATCAATATCAATGGACTAAATTTTTACTCTTCATATTTTCAGGTTGTAAAAGCTTATGATCATAAAGACCAAGAACAAGTGGCTATTAAAATCATCAAAAATAAAAAACCTTTTTTAAACCAAGCTCAAATTGAAGTGAAGTTATTAGAAATAATGAATAAACATGATGCAGAAAATAAATATTATATTGGTAAGTATTACGAATAAGCCGATATGGCAGATTGATTGTATCTTTGAGTTGTTGAAGCTCTGTGAAAAGCAATGAGGTTTGTTGTTTCTTCAGATTCTTCACAAGAAAAACATTTATAGGTAGAGTGCCTTGTCCAAGATAGCTTCTGATTCTTCTGTATAGATTTGCAACTTGTATAATGTGGATGATTTGCTGCCTTATTTAGTAAAACATTTTGGTTGGTATTAGCATTCCACTTCAGCTCTTGTCAGTAACTAAAAATTTTTATTGTATGATAAACAAATCAATGCCATATTATATCATATTGAAATAGTTATACCCATCACCATGATTGATAAAATTTTTTTTATATTTCAGTTCGTTTGAAAAGACATTTTATGTTCCGAAATCATCTGTGTTTAGTGTTTGAACTATTATCTTATAATTTATATGATTTATTACGGAATACAAACTTTCGAGGGGTCTCGTTAAACTTAACGAGGAAATTTGCTCAACAATTAGCGACAGCGTTACTATTTTTAGCAACTCCAGAACTGAATATTATACACTGTGATTTAAAACCTGAAAATATTTTATTATGTAATCCCAAACGTAGTGCCATTAAGATTGTTGATTTTGGTAGTTCGTGTCAATTAGGGCAAAGAGTAAGTATACTTTGTTTTGCAAGTTTAATAACATTTCTAATTATATGATAGAAAAACAGAATAACTACTACTACTACTAATAACTAAGTAGAACTGTCTGCAATTATGACAATATTTTTCATAAAATTAGAAAATGAAATTTTACCAATGGGTACAGCAGCTCACCCACTGCATTTATGAAAACGAAATATGAAATATTTGTGCACATAGGTAACACAAAACGATAACGCAAATCAACAAGGTTTTAAAATTCAACTGTCAAGTTGGCAACTATTAATGAGTAAGTCTTCCTGCCATTGGCAATCACAATTATGAGAGTATCTTGACATATTTACTGATAAACATAAAAGAATTTTCACTCAAGAATAAGTTTTTGATGAAATGCAATGTTATTTATCGTATTGTACTCTAAAATATATGTTCTTTAAGGAACAAAATAAAATAAGGAAACACTCTCAATATTTGACATACTGTAAGGTATATTTTTAACTGCAGATGTTTATATAATTATTGGTTTAAACATCAACCACACTCTACAGCGCCTGTCCACAAACTTTTTTTAAACAATAATATTTACCTTCACAACTTTTTTACCTACATTCTTCAAATTTCTGTGTGAAATTTTTGTTACGTGAATAAATAGAAGCTATTTATTGTGAACTGTTTGTAGAATTCTCAAATCTTTTGTTCTGCACTTTCAAAACATTTCTTCAGATTTTTATTCTTTGAAATTTGAAAGGTCACTGGAAAATTACTATGAAACTTTTGAAGTTGAAAATAAAAGAATTTCACAGAATTTAATATAATATTGGTTATGTGACATTTGTGCTTTTTAGAAATATACATTTTAAAATGGCAATATTTGACATTCCTTTTTTTTCTCAAGATTATCAAGTTATCTCAAAATGTGGGGCACAATATTTGAAAATGAGTGTCTTGAGTAATATTTATTCAACAAGTTTGCTTATTACTTTTAGTCGTAGTTTTAAATATTAAAATATATTGTTTATCAGTTGAAACAGTTCAGTGTCTAATCTTATCTAATCTAATCCAGATAGTGGATACACAAACTTGTAACTTGTGTTAATTGCTTATACTTTTGATACAGAAGAAATGTTTGAGAAGGCGGAATTGACAACAATAATATTTATATCTATGTGAAGGCGTAATTTAATAATTTCCTGTCTTAATAATTTCCTGTCTATGTAGAAGTAGGTTAAAGACAGATACAACTAACTTATCAAAATACTGTCATTCATATCGAGTGTAAACCTGGAAATATTTCAAGAATTTGGACAAATAAAAAGACTTTCCTAAATGTTTTATCAGATGAGTGCAAAAATGTTAAATGTTTTCATTTTCTGAAACACAAGTCCACTATTTTGTGTGGACAATAAAGAGGCTAACATTCCAGAAATTTCAATATGTAATTTTTTTTTTTATTCAGTTGAAAAAGCAACAACATTCATTCACCCCCTATCACTAATCAATTAGACTACTAAGAAAGAATATTTTGAAAACATTTGGTATATTTTTTGCTCATGACATAACAAATGCAATATATTTTCACGTGAATTCTACATTTATTAATGTGCTGAATAATCTTAATTGTACTGTATTTGAATTTCAATATTGATTAATTTTCTGTTTAATTTACTAATTCTGTGAATTTTGATTATTTTCAGATATATCAGTATATACAGAGTAGATTTTACCGATCACCCGAAGTTTTATTAGGTATTCCCTATGATCTAGCAATAGATATGTGGAGTTTAGGCTGTATTTTAGTTGAGATGCATACTGGAGAACCTTTATTTGCTGGCTCAAATGAGGTAAGTTTTTTAAAGTTTTTGTGGATTTTTCATACAAGATTTTTTAGTGATGCAAGTTGGGAGGGTCTGTCACAGAAAAATAATTTGCACAAAAAACTGAAAAACTTTGTCCCCCAGGCTGTTAAATTCAAACTATGCTAAATTTAATTTCTCATGTCCAGATTAATATGATATACTACATATGAAATATTCAGTATATTAAGTTCAGACATAATCAAATCTCTCTATACCTTTCAGTTTGACCAGATGATGAAAATAGTTGAAGTTTTAGGAATTCCACCGGATAATATTTTAGATCAGGCACCAAAAACAAAAAAATATTTTGAAAAAACGCGAGATGGTTCCTATGTGTGTAAGAAACCAAAAGATAGCAAAAAAGTAAGTATCTCTCTTTTCTTCAGCGCTTATTCAAGTTAGATCCTATAAATTTGATGGAAATATGCATATAGTTTAACAAAAATATTTGCACATGCTGGTTCTATTCAAAACACAAACACTAACAGTACATTATAAATAACTATTTAACTATTATTAACACCCTAGAAAATACCCTAGATGTACACAAATGTCTTTGTTTACCTATCTACATGTTAATCAGAGCCATGAACAGAAAAAATGTAAACATAAGTCTGCACTTGTATTCAAGGGCATTGGTTGACAGTTTTTTTCTAACATGCAATCCAATCTAACTGCATTTTAACAATGTCACGGTGTAAGATTGTCTTGAGTTTGTAATGACATTGTAAAGATTGTCTATTCCAAACCTACACAATATGGTCGAAGGGGAGGTAATTAAAAAAAGTATTGATTTTTTTTAAACAATCAGATTGAAAAAAAAGTTGAATGTTTTGTATGTCTGCATATTTTTGATTAAAGTTGATGATAACATCTTAACACAACTAATTACTTTTAGTTCTTTGAGTTTTTTATTGTCTATTTTCACTTTGATGTCTTCTTTGGGTTTTTATGAATTTTGGCACAGGACTCTTACCTATTTCATCCTACTTCATAGAGTAATTTGATAAATGAGTGGATGTGTGACTGTCCAAAGTGTGACATATGTTATTTTGTCTGACCCAGGTTACACCAGACTTCTGCAATAAGAATTATCTTAACAATTAGCAGTAAGACAGATGCAAAAAATTGTGAACTGTAACTAAATTTGAAAATTTAAAACCTCAAGAAGCTAAGATGATGGAAGACAGACAAAAGCTTAAATGGTTCTCTGGCGCACGTTCCTAGTAGTATTTTGTATTGCTTTTGCTATTCTAATGTGTATGACTTTTTATTTCAGTATAAACCACCCAACTCAAGGCGATTACATGATATAATTGGAGCTGAATCAGGAGGTCCAGGTGGCAGACGGACAGGAGAACAGGGTCATACAGTTGCAGATTATCTCAAATTCAAAGATTTAACATTACGAATGCTGGAATTTGATCCCAAGAAACGAATAACACCTTACTACGCTTTACAGCATAATTTCTTTAAAAGGACAAATGATGAAAGTACGAATACATCTAATAGTACATCCACAAGTCCAGCCTTGGAGCAAACTGTCTCGAGCCCTACAGGTAGTCTTCACTACCAATATTACACTTCTTTCATTCATTCTTTAGTAGAATCAAACTGAATTTATTCCTTTTAGTTCATACTATCTCTCTTTCTGGCTATCTTTTTGTTTGTGTTTGTCTCGTAATAAATCTCTGGTAACTTTTAGTTGGTAGATGATCAAACTTTAGTTCAAACTTTTCTTTAGTGTTGGTAAAGATTTCAGCCAATATGAGGTGTTCTAGAAATCATAGTCCTATAAAATAACAACAATTTTGATACCTATCCTGGTAGAGCTTTGTCCTTGCTCTTTCATCAATGCTTACATTTTCTTTTTTCTTTCCTTATATAAAAAGGACATAGGTCAAATTTTGTTGGTATCTGAATTTTTGGATAAAAGTCAATGCTTATTGCACTTTTTAGTAATTCATGGTTTTAGAGGGAATAGCTTATCTAATTTTTGGTTTGCTTTGTTATAAGTTTCCATGGTAATTGGCTTTTAAAAGTGATTGGTGTCTTGTTTTATATTTTGTACATGTAAATTGACTGCCTGTAGGACTCTACTACCAGAAAATAACCAGGATTATTTTTTTCATATTCTTTAACATTTTATGAAAATTAATCATTGGAGCATTATTCCAATTTTTTAAACCATATTCTTAGAAAAAAGTTTTAGATCATTAGAATTGAGAATTCAGGGTTAGATAATCTCTATCCTCAGCAAAACACTGGTTAATTTCTGTTCATTCTTTGATATTTTCCTACCTTTTCTCTCTTTTTCTGTAGATAGTCAAACTGTAATCTCATCCAGTCATAGTAATAATAATAATAGTTATAGTATAGATATAACAGTGAGTCAATGTTCAAAATCCAACTCCTCATTTTAGCAAATTTTCACTCCAATTCATTCTTTGGGGAAAATTGACTGAACCTGAAGAGTTGGAGATGTGTTCTGTTATAATATTTGACAATTCTACATTTATACCTTGAGAATTAGCATATGTGTATGGTTATTAATTTATTAACCTGCAAAACAGATATACTGTCGCTAGTAGCAATTGAAACAGCTAAGTACATTTTCCAAGGGAATTGATAATCTAATTATATACTTTTAAAGCTGATGGCTGACTTTAATATGTTTTAGCCATAATATCATTATAGATAATCAGGATATTATTTTGATATTAAACATTTTTCTTGAAATTGAAAAGTAAAATATATTTTTGGTGAAAAAATATATCATTTGTCAAGTGGAGGTATAAATGTAGTAATGTTCTGTTGAACAATGTTTCATGTTAGTTATTTATTATTTTATTTTTACAATTGGAATTCAAATCAATTTTGAAATTTTGTATCATGAATTGTTATGAGAAATTATGTAGTTCTGAGATACTACAAATATGTGTGAAGGCTTTACATTTATAAACCACCCTTCTGTTGTTATGTTGAAATATCTGTTATTGTGTTTGATAAATTTCTCTTATATTTTCAGTGAGTACAAGTAGCGGAAGAGCTAGATCAGATCCAACGCATCAACATCATCAAAATGTACCCCCTCAGTCTCACTCAGCACACCAGACAAGGACAAATCACTACTCCAACATGGAATGTGACAGCCCAACTGCACAACGCCCTGGAGCACATATCCTTGCGCATCGACAATTAGAGCATCAACAAAGTTGGACTGGATTGGAAGGACAAGGTCGTCATAGTAACGGTTCACATTCCCATCGTCATTCGCAGAGCATTCAACATCAGTCACCCCCATCATTAATGACAACCAGTTTTATGAGTAGTCGTTTAGCAGGAGGTACAGGAGGTGCAGGAAATATCGTGATAGATAATTCAAGTTATGGAACGACTCGAGGGGGAACAAACTATACAAACTCTGTGTCTTCCACATTATTAGACTGTGATAACACGTTAACTACTGCTGCCATGACAACGAGTGGGGTCCCTAGTGACCAGGCTATGTCTTTATCAGGCACAGTAAATATGCAGTTGACGGGTTACCCTTCTCAATATAGTCAATTTCCTCAACAAACTGCTTGGTCTTCAAGCTCATTTCCTTACGGTCTCACAACGTCAACGGGGCCTGTAATGGCCGGGCATGAACAATCTACTCAACATACAAGGACTACTAGTGAAAGAAGTGATGAATCCCCCATGATGGGAGTGTGTGTGCAACAAAGTCCTGTCGCCAGTCATTAAGGTCATATCACAAAGGTCGAAGGTTAAGATAAAGGTCAAGATAAGGATAAAATGATGTATGGTATTAAACATGAGTGGAACTTAGACTACCGAAGTCTAGCAAGAAATTATCTTGTCATGTTGATGGTGTGTTTATATCGTACTGGCCTGTTCACAGAAATATTGATGTGTAAAGGAGTTGCAAAAAAATAAGTAAAAGAGAGTTGCTGAATGTCAAAAAATTAGCTTGTGTTATGCAAAGTGAAATAAGAAATCGTTTAAGGACTAAATAGTAAGGGTTGCCTTCTGATATTTGTTTTATGCCATTGAATGAACATTTATGAAACAGTGTAAGATTACAGTGATGTGCAGACTGTTTTTTGTCCAGTGAAATGGAAAAGGGTAAACTGATGCCAGTAGTCGTAAGACAATAAGAAACTATGCTTGGGCTATCCAGTTCCGACGAACGGTCGCGGGTGATTTGATCACCTGGAAGCGATGATTTCAGGCCTTTTTTATGAAACTATTTGATAAAGTGGAAGAAAACCACAAAAATTCCACGAATTGTACAGTATATTGTGCAATAAGAAAGAACTATAACTAGAGTGTGAACTTAACCCTAATGAGTTTTCACTTGTGACAATATGCTTCACTGTATTTTCTCCCACTAACTTGCACAATGGCACTAAAACACTAGTACATGCTGAGAAATTGATTAGAATGGTGTTTTTGAAAGCAATTGAAGATGACAGGCTGATAGATACCAAGTTATCTGTCCATAGATTTCAGTTAATTTATGGGAGAATTATGCCAAATTAAAGTGTAATTGTAAAAAATCATAGACTAATATTGTAAATATCTATAAATAAGACATTCTTACTCTAAAACAATTTGATTGGGTGCGGGTAACATTTTAAACTAGCCAATAGTTATAAAAGATGGTATGTCACATGGTTAGTGACGTCATCAGGATTGTTTTTATATATATAGCATTGTTGTTATCAAATCTATTTAATGGGCATTTCCTTGTAAATTTAACATAAAATTCTTTGGAGCAAATTTCTGGAAAACAAAAGATGATTTTGGTATCAAAAATTAGGTGTTATTTTAGCGTGAAAAGTTACTATTGTATATCTTGAATTGTATTTCTATTCAAAAGTTTGTATATGAAATTGTCCTTAGCTGGACTAAGAATTTGATCTTACATCGTTTTGAATTCACAAAAGATAAGTTTCAAAATCAAATATAAATATTTAACATTTTTATGATCTTGGAGAATTTGATAACAACAATGTTTTACAAAATGACTGAAATACTAGTCTAAATTTATCAACAGTTTTATTTCTAAAAAGTGTTGGTAAACAAAAGATATAATGTAAATAATACAGATTTTTATGAACAGAAAACAAGATATGAATTTTAAGTTTCAAAAGACTTTCATCCCATAAAATTTTACATTTGATCGATTTTAAAACAATTCTAATTGAAATTTTTAACAAAGAATTTATAATTATCAAAGCATAATAATTGAAAGAAATATGAATATTTCATCCATGGAAGTAAAAAATTATGTGTGGCATGTCCATATCCAAGAAGTATTTTTGTTCTGTTTAACAAGGATTCTTGTCTGGTGTTTTATCCTGGTGAATTTCTCTGCAAATTGTAGACCTATATTTTTTATATACAATTCAATGTATCCTTGATACAATTCCTAGTTAAAAGAGATACAGTTGAAGGAAAACTTATCAAAATACTTTTTTTTCAGTTCATTCTGTTTGGATATCTCAATGAATAAATTTAAAAAATAATCTTATAGTTATAGCAGACAATTTCATCATGATAAAAACACCCAAAGGAATGACGTCTATGTATACTAATAAATATATAATGTATACATAACTTTCCCTGGGGGACAGGAAACATATACCCCTACCCAAGGAACAAACAAACCATGTAAATATGAGAATATGTATTGATAATATTATTTATTAATTTCATTTCAATCTTTGTATATATTTCATTAATAAGGAGAGACAGTTTTTAACCAACTTTTCTTTTAGTTTTCATCCTAGTTTTATTTTCTCCTTTAAAATCATTTCATTGTTTGCTATTTTGATTGGAAGTTAAGAATTGTAATGCATGATATCATTTATCATCTGATTTTCAAACTATTGCTATGAGCTAAAAATTGACCAAGGGCTGCATGTCTAAAACATGTCAGGTTAAGATAATTGAAACAAATGTTTATGAAGTTTGATTGCTTAGTATTATTATAATAATAATTATGATACAGACAATCATATATCTTGAAATTTATAAGATTATCTTAGCTATAATGATTTGGACAACCCAGCTAGACTTACAAATTTAATGTAAATTGCAGTTCAGTATGATGCCAATCAGGCAATAGCTCTCTTGATTTTGATATTATTTTTCATGGTTTTGAATCTTTCCAGTGAAAAATATTGATGTCTGATGTTTCTGTGTCAGCATCTTCATAAATTTTTTGATGGAATTGCACTTATTTGTATCAGAGGATTTTTAATAAAACAAATTTTAACACATTGAAAGAATCGTGGTGAATAATTTTTAATTATTTTTCAGATAAAAAGTTTTAATATAAATATATTTAAAGAACATAAATTTTGGTAGAATAAGTACATTTTTAAGTTTTAATTTTTTGTATTAAAAAAGAATGGAAAGAGGTGTATAGTTGACACCTCTAGACCTTCATGAACTTTTCAAAAATACATTTTTTCAGTCTTGAAAATACTTGGAGACAAGTTCATTTTACAATGGGATCAATCTGTCGACTTTGCCACTACATCCAGTCTTGTTTTATACAGGAATTAAAGACTCAGTGAAAATTTTTATAATGGGTTCAGATTGAGGCTTAAATGATTAAACTGAAATATTTTATGATGCCAAATTAGATATATAGTTATATAAAAAATTCCCGTATTTAATTTATCAAGTATTTGTGAAAGGAACTATATTCAATGTATCATAATCTGAGTTCTGTTCAATCATTAATTTATTTTCATTAGTTTGGTTTCTATTTATTTAGTCTCCATGGCAACATTTTCACTAATTGCATGTGTTTTGTCTTGCTTTGAGTTTCATTTTGTTTTCATATCATTGCCTCAACCTTAATATAGTAGTCTTAAATAATAACAATAAAAATATCAAGCCCCTGCTTGCTAAATTATGATTTGTGTTTTTTTTTTTATCTCTATCATGATGTGGAGAGAAGGATGGTCAAATTCTTGATCAGGATCTCTTATGATGAAAATTATATACAGTTTCCAGTATGTGCTGATTCCATAGACAATTCACTGTGGTGGTCATCATTTTCTGTTCAAGTCAAATCTGATAGAATTCTATGGCTTGTGATGAACATTGCCTTTTGTGGAAATTGGATACCTCATTCTGCATATGAGCTATTAAGCAATTTAGATGTTATGTTAGTTCCATCAAGTTATGAAAAAAAACCTGATGCCATGATTAAGGCTTTTGGACTCCTTCTACCTAAACAATGTCATAACATAGGAATTGATTGCCACAAGACAATAAAGTGCCTCGGGATAGAAGCCTATTCCAGACAGATTAAAAATCTGGTGCCACATGAATTGCTTTTCAGAAATGAAAAAAGGATTTTTTTATGTCTATATCCACTGCAATTGATGAATCAGGAATATTGTTCACCCTGGCACTGCTTATAATACTTGAAAAACTATTTAATAAGAACAGGATCATATTCAGACTGAGACAACACACGTGACCAATACTTGTTCATAAGAATTTATATCATATATTATTATCTGATACTTATCAGGTCAAATTTTCAGTGCAATGACCTGTCTGAAAATATAAAAATATCTATAAAGTGTTTCATCTCCAGCATCGACTCAAACTGTGTTTTAGATGAAGGTATTTTGTCATCAGTCATAGATATCATCTTGTGAAAGGCAGGAACTCATCTACGTTTCAGTTTTAACCAAATGTATCTATCTTATATGTTGACATGTACATGAATGACTTACATGAATTTTAAACTACTTTCAGTTTATTCTATGAACTTTGACATTACCTCGTTGTTGTCCAATCAGTGCATAGAATATACACTTCCGGTGAAGGAAAGGTCAAGGTGATACTAGGTCATAGGTAAATAATAACATGAATGTTGTTCAGAGAAAAAATTACAACTAAAACATTATTAGCTGGCTTGGTAAGTAAAATTATGCTTGTGATATTCTCGCAAGTTATCATGAATGACTATTTTACTGCTGTCAGTGTCTGGATTGTAATATTTCAGACAAAGAACTAACTTTTTATTATCCATTTCATCATAGATAGATTGATTCCATGGCATGATATTGATGGTCTGTGAATGATAAAAGGCATTGCATCATCAGTGACACGGACAGTCCCAATAACGGAAAAAGCGATTTTCATTTAAATTTTCTTTAGTTGCATAAGCAGAAGTTCCACTTTCTCAATGCACAGATCACGTCACACTTAAACTTACACAATTTTGGTAGTTTAGGTTTCTATCACTGTAGCCTGTACGTTGTAGTAGGTGGAAAGAGTAGGCCTATTAATAGCATGCAGATTGCTAATGTGTTATGAAATTTTGGAAAGGGAAGCTGGTCAACTTCAACTAATAATTTTCAATATCTTTTCGCTATGTAGCTAATATGGAACAGCCACTAGATTTAGTAGAGGCGAGAGCAATCAGTAAGAAGGAGATATCATCTAGACCTACAGCTGTTGATGCTGCTATTGATTTAACTGGTGGAACTGCAGGTAAAGGGACATAACTGTTAAGTGTTGATAAATACATACGAAGGTGTATCTTAAAGATATCTGTTTAAATGCTGTTTTAGTTGTGTCTATGGCATATGAATATCAAATAAAATCTGACTTTCAAAATATCAGTAGAAGAACGAGATTAATGCCTGGTATTTTCAAATTTAAGACTATTAATGTTTCATTTATATTTGCTGTTATGTCTATCTGATTTCAGGAGGATTTGCAACAGTTGTTGTTGGTCAACCTCTCGATACAGTTAAAGTGAAATTACAGACATTTCCAACATTGTATAGAAATGCTTTTCATTGTTTTAAACAGACTTACGCTCAGGATGGTCTTTTTCATGGACTTTATGCTGGAACTGTTCCGTCCATGGCAGCCAATATAGCTGAAAATGCTGTTTTGTTTTGTTTTTATGGAATGTGCCAAAAACTTGTTGCTACAGCTCGACAAAAACATGATATTAAAGACTTGAATCCGTTAGATAATGCTTTTGCTGGTTGTGGTGCAGCATTTTTCTCAAGTTTTGCCTTGTGTCCAACAGAACTGATAAAATGTCGCCTTCAAGCTATGAGAGAAATGGCAACTCAGGGTCAATATAAAGGAGATTTATCAAGGTTAAAAATGTAAGTTATATAATTCAAAAATTCAGTATCCAAAATCTAAATTCCTGACATCAATGAATCAGAATGTTCCTAAACTTGGGCATCAAACAGTTTTCAACATTGATTATTTTGTTTTCTTGCGTCTTATCTGAAAATTGACATGCAATCTTTAGTTTTACCACAATGTTTTTTTTACAGGGGTCCATGGGGTTTAACAAGAGAAATACTGCATAAAGAAGGTATATCTGGTTTATATAAAGGATTAACAAGCACTTTTCTAAGAGAAATGCCTGGATATTTTGTATTTTTCGGAGGGTATGAAATATCAAAGGTTCTTCTTACACCAAAAGATGGAGATAAGGAAAATATTGGTGAGTGTCTTTCCCAATTGCTGTCTCATAGCTCTTCACATTTAATTTTTAATATTCAGAATATTGAGCAGGTGAAATACTTTATTGTCACTGTTACACCTCTCTGCACCAAGAAGGTGAAAACAGAGAAGTGTGAGTAGTAAAACAACCAGATTAGCCAACGCGATGACTGGTACACAGAGAATGAGAAATAATGACAACACTGGGTAACTCAGTTAAGCCTAACGTTCAGCTTTAAAGACGGTACAACGGTGGACCTCAGGATTATACGATGCAGCACAACTAAGCCTGGTAGACACTTCTGGAGAGCACAAGGAAAGGGTTCATATACTGGCACTATAACATGGTGCAACTGGAACCAACACCCCTTTCTACAGCTCTGTTAACAACAGACAAACAATGTCGTACTACCTTCTACAGGATTATCTGTGGGAGGAGAGAAACAAAACTTAGGTATTTCATAGGCTTTATCAACATTGAGGAGCACATGGAAGAGAACTTCCTGTCATAAGAGTCTACAAACTAATATACAACATGTCTTACGAACATCAACTTGTGTAAACTTATATCACATGAGAGAACAATGCAAAGGCGCAATGAATAAGAGTTGCCCAATACCATGTGGAGTGGCCAACGTGTGTGATACTAATAGAAAATACAAGATTTTCAGAGGCAAAGGCCTAAAACACTGACATAGTGTAGTAAACCTATGTCTTATAAGATTGACAGCAACATAATTTGCCTTTTATAGCAAAATAATACCTGTGGGAGGAGAGAAACAAAACTTAGGTATTTCATAGGCTTTATCAACATTGAGGAGCACATGGAAGAGAACTTCCTGTCATAAGAGTGACTTGCCCTTGCACACTAGCATTAGTCACCTTTTGAAACACAGGCACTTGTAACTTTTACTAAACAGAGTTACCTCCCTTCAACCACTTAACTGTCCTCACTACTAAGCCTTACACATAAGAAAATGGCACCCCCTTGTATCTACTGTTACATCACCAATGTTTGTCCAAACATGTTTTGTTTGTAAACACTCTACAGGACACATTTCTTTATGGATTTTGGTGAATTGGTTTTGTGTTATCTTGAATTTAATGATAATGACACTAACGTAATGGCTGACATTGAAGACATGAATTTAATTGCTGTCATACAGTAAAAAGTTGAAATTGAAATGTTGATATTATAGGTATATTAAGGACTATAATATGTGGGGGTGTAGGAGGAGCATCACTATGGATAGTTATATTTCCTGCTGATGTTGTTAAATCAAGGATTCAAATCCAGTCTGCTGGAGGGGGAATAACTCCTACTTTTACTTCTACCATTTTACACATCTTTAGAACTGAAGGTGGGTTTAATCATTAAAGAATTAAAATCTCATGATACGCTGTTGACATCTGTTTCTGAAATCCATCCACTATCATTCTATACTTTTTTAAAATAAAAGTATGGACGTACAATGAAACACAGGCTAAGCCTAAACAGCCAAACAAGAATTCTGAAACTCCTATCTCATGGCAAATCTCATCTTCTATTATGTAATTAATAAAATATAGATAAAATTTAATATGTGTATGTCACATGGTATAAAACGGCAAATGTTGTTATTGCTCAATATTTGATCTGGTAAGCATTATGGCCACCAAGCATTCCAATGCAGTTATAATTCTCTCTTTACTTTACAGGCATAGCTGCATTATATAATGGGTTAGGACCAACACTTGTAAGAACTTTCCCTGCTACTGGTGCCCTGTTTTTAGCATACGAAACAACCAAGAAATATTTATCAAGATTTTATGATGGAACCTTTGGTTGATTTAAGATTAGATAGAAAATTTGACGTTAATAATGAATTGAAGAAAATCATCAAGTAAAGAGTTATATGTATCTGATGATTATACTTTTTCTTGAAAAAGAATCAGTAGACTTGTAAACATCAAAGGCAATGAAGAAAAAAGTTGTAAAGGGTCCTTTCTGCTTGCCTTACACCAAAAAGAATAAGTATGATTCTGGTTTCAATCTGATCAAAATACAGATTATGCTGTCATGTGTTGTTTTTTTCTGTGGTAGTCTTCATTGACGTTCAATGATGATCTGACAAATTGTTAGGAACATTAATTTTAGGTCATTAAAATATTTCAACTTTTTTAGAACAGAAGAATTATGACAGACCATTGTGACAAATAACTATCTGAAAAAACTATACCATGCAGATTCACATTTTTATCAGATTGTACTCTAAACCAGTGCTTCTCAGCTGGGGTTCAAGTGGACCTCCAGGGGTGAACTCTAAATTCTCAGGGGTGAAATTTGGATAGATTGGGGAATTTAGGGGTGAAGTATACACAAAGGGGTTAAATTGGTGAATAGGGAAATTTGAACAACAAGTCCATAATGACCTCGCTGAGTTTCAAAATCTCATCAGCAGAACCTATCCACAGAACATACGACGAGTTTATGTGGCTTGACAAAGAAATTTCAGAAAACTATCCAAATTCGAGAATACATGCACAAAACATGCTATTAACTTTCCCCACTCGCTATTTCGTAGAGTTTGCATTTCTGAAGGCAGCTCCTGTTCTAGATGAAGATCCTGGTTCAACACTAAGTACAAGGCCCTCACAAACGACATCTTCATTGCACTTTATGTGTCAATCAGCGGAATTGAAAGTGCCAGAAGGGGTACAGGGAGGCTTTTGTGCCTCTAGAAAGATGTTAAAATAGGAATTGGATACGTTTTTATGAACAAATTAGATTTTGGATAGGCCTATGATTTGACACATATTGACAACAGCCTTTGATGTAAGCTTAATGGAAATTAAATGGGTAAGTGGGCATATTTTGTTTGGCAATAGCTTGTTAGTTTCATGCAAGGGTAATAAAATTAGAATAAAATTCTAATGGGGGTGAATTGGACTATAAAGGTTGAAAAGCACTGCATCTTACACAAGCAAATCCACATTTCTATCAGATTATTCTTAGGCTAAATCATGCAACAACTGTATGGAAAGAAATACTACTAGTTCTTTCCAATCAATTTTAAGTACATATACAAATTCTTAATTTTAAAATAAAATTGTTGTGATTTAGCTTTTATTAATTGATATAGTTGTTAGTAGACTTTTGATATATAATATAAAATCATAATCTTGAAGCTTTCAAAAGAATTTTTTTTCATATTGAATATAAATTGTATATTATATATTTACAAGATGATTTGCAGTATTAAAAAAAAATTTATCTGATATATTATTTTTCTACAAATAAGCAATTAGCTTATTGTTTTGATACATTTGATTAACAGCTTGTAATTCCATCGTGCACTGTCATTTACTAATTAAACTGAAGACTTTCCAAGTAGCTCAAACATATTATGGTGTAAATTATGCAAATTTGGGCCTATATTCCAATATGCTTGCTTAATAAACTGTTGCACAAAAATTGTCCACTATCCCAATCAACCTGTAACTTTGTTTGTGGCACGACTGAAGACTCAAACTGGTATAAGCACTTTGGTTTAAGGTTTGATGATTTTCTTAATATTGACAAGTATGCACAATATGTAAAGGTTGGTGTTTTTATTTTTGGTTAAATTGTATTTAAATTTCTAGTTAGACCTATACAAGTTACTTCTTTAATATGAAATTGCGAAACATAAAAATTGTTATATTATCTCCAAACATAGATGTGTCTAATAAGTGTCTGTCTCGTTATACAAGTCTGTTTTTACAGTAACTGATTGTACGAATCCATTCACCCGTTTTAAGCGATACCTGACAAATCTAAGTCACATGACATGCAGTAGTCACATGATCGACTGTAGATGTCACTAGCAGAATAGAAAATAAATTTATCTTGTGACAAAATTCGCGACTAAAAAACAAAAAGATTACAAACAACCTTGTGGAGGTTAGGGATATTAACTGTTTGTAATTATTTTAGTCCTAGATCAAGTGAATTGGCTAAAATAAATCAAAATGGCGCTAAGCGATGCCGATGTTCAAAAACAAATCAAGCACATGATGGCCTTCATTGAGCAAGAGGCCAATGAAAAAGCTGAAGAAATAGATGCCAAAGCTGAAGAAGAATTTAACATTGAAAAGGGTAGACTGGTTCAACAACAGAGAGTTAAGATAATGGAATTGTTTGAGAGAAAAGAGAAGCAGGTTGAACTTCAAAAGAAGATTCAGAGCAGCAATTTATTGAATCAAGCAAGATTACGAGTTCTGAAAGCCAGAGAAGATCATGTTCGAGATGTCTTAGAAGAAGCCAGGCGCCGATTAGGCCAGGTGACTAAAGACCAAAACAAATATCGAGGTATCTTAGAAGGATTGATTGCCCAAGGTTTATTTCAATTGATGGAACAAAATGTAGTTGTGCGATGTCGAGAACAAGATGTAGACCTGGTACGAGAGGTGGCACCTGGTGCTGTGCAGAAATATAAAGAGGCCATGAAGGGAAAAGATGTGTATGTTAATGTGGATAATGAAAATTTCTTGAGTCCAAACAGCTCTGGTGGAGTAGAAGTTGTAGCACAAGGTGGTAAATTCCTTGTAGAGAATACCCTGGATAGCCGGCTGTCTCAGATGTCCGGTCAAATGCTGCCGAAATTACGAGAGATGTTATTTGGAAGAAATCCTAACCGAAGATTTACTGACTAAATTAGGACTTTATACTATTTACTTCTAGATAGACATATAATATCAATATAGGTTCCTTCATCAATATGGTGACAACTTGGTTTTATCATACTGAAGGACCAACTTTCTACTCTTGTCTTGACCATTAAGATATCTTTCAAGAATCCTGGAGTATGTTATGCTCATTGAAAGATTCCCTTAGAAACACTTAAAAATGATTAGAAATGGTACACCATCTTTTGGCAATTAGTGAAGCTAACATCTGAAGTGTTCACCATATTGATGAAGTAACTTTCTAATATTTATAGACATTCCTTTTGTTATATTAATTGGTCTGGAAATATTTAGATTATTATTGATCATATATTATTTATGCTTAATCAGGAAAGTCCCAGTTTTATGTCATTTTATCATCAAGAGAATAAATTGTATTGTGTACCAGAATTTAAAAAAAACTTTAGTAATCATTGATAGGATGAAAGAGAGTTATTATATTTATGCATGTTTTTTTGATTAATGGTATTAAACCTATATCTTCTTTCATTGTTTACAAATAAATTCAGAGGCTAAACCAATAAGTCTGAAATAGATTGGAATGAAATACCTGATAGGACAGCAAATAAATTTACAAAAATATGTTTTTGTAAATATGTTTATATATCAAAAGATATGAATTTTTCCCTGCTATGCTTGTATCTCTATAAATATTGGTGAATTTTAGCCTAGATACAGAAGAATGTAGTAAAGATTGTGTCCTCAATATTTGTGAACTAGGTAGTGTAGAAATCACTAAAACCAAACTAGTCAATTATCTTTAGTATGACCCCATTTGAATTTGATCTTGAAATATATTAAAAGGGTTTCTGAAAAATTTATTTCTTATATTATAAACCCATTATCATTGAGACCAATGATCCAGGGATTTCAGTCATTTGACAGGCTCTGCACTAGGCATGTGTGTTAATGTTTTTGAATTTTACAATATGTAGTTCTGTACCATTATAATCATGTGGGTATTAAATTGTCATTGGTGAATTATTTCTTCATTATTAGAACTTCATTATACAAATAAAATTACTCTAAGGAAACAGAAGGCATGTTATGTTGACATCTATTTGTTATTTCACACAAATATCCATTAATTTTTAAAATGATTTGCATATCAATTTTGCAGAATTGTTTACAAGTCAAGAATGAAGTTAATGTACTTGCACATTTTAAAAGCTTTTTTATATAAATTCTACATTTTCTTTATAAAATTAAAACTATTTCCAAAATATACAATTTCAATGATACTTGTTTTTAGATATTTCATAAAACCGACTTAAAACTGCCACCAAGGTTGCGATCACAAGCCCCATTTAACACAATTGTTTATAAAAACAAATTTGGACATGTTTTTCCTAATTCAAGGGCAATAACTCAAAAAACATTCATAGACTAATTGTCAAATTCAAACTTGACTAAGATCTCGTATCATAGATGATCACACCAAATTTCATTAAAATCGGAAGAAATCTTTATAGTCACAAACAAATTTTGACATGTTTTTACTAAGTCACAGGTAATAATTCAAAATATACGTCCATATTATAGTAATTATCATAAAAGCTACAATGATATATACTTCCCGCGTCCCATGTCTGATTTCATGATAGTTAAAGATGGGTTTTCTTATTTTTTAGTGTCAAATTAAGCAAACTATTTGATCATTCTAATGAATTTTCATGTATTCTTAATCACATCATTATGTTCTCATTGCACATAATTGAGAGTTTTAACCAATCATAAATGTCCATGTATGAAAAGACTGGATAAACAAAAAGAGACTTTTTGATCTTTCTTGATCAGTCAGAGCTTTATTTACAGCCTTATTTTTTTTTTTTTTTTTTTTTTTGATTTTTAATTTGATTCACCCTTAATTAACAACTTCATCAAGTTTTGTCTATAACTTTTGTCTTCTGACGTTTTTACAATATAACATGTTTTTAAGAACAAGGGCAAATTAAATATTTTTCCAATATTTTGCATTATAATAGGGTTCATCCTTGGGCAATTCCATTAAATTTGTTAAAATCTGTTGAGAATTGTGCCTTGAACAAGAACAGTAACTCATATTAATACTTTTTTAGATTTTGTCAAGAATTTTTTCTTTTAGACCTTTCACAAGCTAAAAATTGAACGCTTTTTCAAGAACATGGGTATCTCATATATTTTTCGATTTGTTTCATTTAAGGTTCATCCTTGAGTGTTTACAAACCCTCACACAAATGACAGACAGGCGACGACTACATGTATATAAACCCACATTTTCTGATAAAAACTCTGCTTTGCAAAAAAAAAAAAATTATTTGATTTAAAGTCATCTATGTCTTTCAAATGAACAAAAAACTGTATTAGAAAAAGTAACAAAAAACAACACTCTGCTCAGAAATAAGCTTATACATGTATCCTCACATTGATTGCATTGGTGAAATAAAAGATTTATATGACTTTCATCAGACGATGCACATCTGAGTCTAATTAAACCCTTCATTATATATGGGAGTAAATTAAATAATTGAAACTGTAGAAGTCGGACAACTTGCATTGATTACTACTTCAAATAAAGTGGACATTTTGAATCTTCTGGATGTGAACAAATCTATATCTAACTTCAGTTTTCATACTCAAATCATTATAAAGGAGTGACAAAACTTTTTGCTCCGGATTATGCTAATGAAGACTGTAATTGTTAAACATTATTCCTTGTGAGCCCTTCCGATCTACATTGCTAACAAGGAAAACATGGTTGACAAGTCATATTGTTGTATCTCTACTATAAATTTCAGACCTGGATAATAGTAGTCACTCTGTCTTCATTCAGCCAAATTAAAGAATTCCCTAACTCTTAAGAGATGTTTTTTACAGCAAATGTTCAATACATTATCAATGTTCAATGTATTATTAAGCAAAAAACATTCAGGATTTAAAAAGGAAGCCTCTTCCACGACCAAAACCTGCAATATAGAAAAGAGAAACATTTATACAGGCTCATCCTTCAGATAGACAATACATCTTTTTCAGTTATATTGAAAATGATGGTCAAATCTTCAGATTGTTAAGCTTAGAAAGCTCAATAAATAGGTTTAAGCATTTACAAATTTTTGGAAAATTCTTGAAATCCACTCAGCTCTGATAAAAAAATAATTTATATAAGCCCAGACACAGTGTCAAGATGTTCAGTGTTGTCACATTTTCTAAGTCCATTTTGCTTCCTTTATTCAAGGAAAATGGAAAAAAGGATTGCTGTACAAGTTCTCTTGAAAACATAGTACAAAAAATTCTTACTAAAATTACAGTTTCCTCTTGGTGAAGGTGACAGTTGGGTCAGAGACCTTGGTAAGGTCTTTTCAGCCATTGTAGGTTTGGTAGTGTATGTTGGCAAAGTTTTATCACAAGTATCTGGTTTCCATGATGTTTGATTTTTGGAACATGCTTGGCTGATATGAGAGGGTTTTGATGTTTTGCTTATAGAATTTATTGATGCAAATGAATGTCCTTTAGGAGCTTGATATTGGGGTCCAGAGGGAGCACTACCAAGACAACCAGGTTTAGTTGAGTAGAGAGTATCATTTAATCCATAGTTCAAGTTTCTCAATGTTGCTTGTTTTTTTTTAGGAACTGCCCCTAATAAACCATCACCACCATGTAGAGTCACTGGCAGAATGTTAACAGGAGCAGATCCTAAGAAACCTTTTTTGATGTTTTGTTTCTTAGAACTTTCTGCGTCTGATCGGCTTTCTTTTAATTGCTTCAAAGAAGAAATGTCACTGTTGTTTTGTACTGTTGTACAATAAGCTTTCTGACTGTTATTCTCCTCTTGTGAAATGGTTTTGTTGGTGATGTTTTTGAGACTTGTAATATTTTCTGGAGAGTTCTTCATAATCAATTCACAATCATCACTATCTGAATCAGTGTTCATCAACATGTTATGAGATTTTAAAGTAGTAACATTCGGATCAACATCATTCTTTGTTAGGTGATCATATGCAACATTTTTTTCACCATTATCATTAGTTGATCTTTTGCCAACAGATAGTAAATCCTTCAAATTTTTCTCCTTAATTTTTAGATCTGAAATGTATTCATCAGTTGACTTTATGTAGGTTTGTGGGTTACAATGGCGTATATCTTGGTTGCCAGGTAACTTGTCACCTGAAACTTCTTTATTATTCTTATCTTCACTCTTTACAATATTGGTTTCATTTCCATCATTTTTCTTGTGGATTGAACTATCAATATTATTTCCAAGTGGTTTTAGATTTTGCAAAACATTTTGTTCATTTTGTACTTTCTGGTTTATTTTAACTTCTTCTGCCTGCCTCAAGACTTCAGGTTTTACACCATGGTTACAGAATGCTGTAAAACTCTTTATTGTATCCATCATAACTTCCAATGCCAGAAAAAAATCTTTTGTATCTTTTTCGGATAAACCTTGTTCAGTACAACCATATGAACTGCAAGAGCAAGCCAATATCATTTTCAACAAATGTGACAATACATATTTAAAGAAATGCTTTTTAACTGTATACCAGCTTATACTTGGCATGTTTTTACCTCGCAATTGATACATAGCAAAGGTTAAAAGTCATTGATAAGGATCAGTTAAGTAGGCCTTGTTTCAGGGAAATCTCTGTGTGTAGAGGGGTGTACAAAAGACCATTAGCCCACTATTTAAATAAGTAAATCTTACTTACTGTGAGAGAAGTTTCTTCGTCAGATTACGCAATTCAACAGCATCATAGTCAATTAAACCAGAAGAAACATTTGGAGCAGCATTATAAGACATTTCAGACACATCATTCAATAACCTATCACCATTTATTTTTTGTTTGTTACCTGAAACAGTAAGTTTAATAATTTAGTGATTAAACGGTGATTAACTTAGAGGCAATATAGTCTTCAATATTTGGCTGATATTGGATTGATATTTCAATTGCACAATCTAGAAATACCAAATCTTACTTGATCTAGATTTTATTGGATGACAAATAAAACCTTGAGGCCAGGACAAAGACATCTTTCATAATTTCACCAACTGTCTTTACGTTTCTGTGAACTGGGCTGGAACACTTTACTCAATAAGTATAGCTTAAATCTTAAATTTAACAAACAAACCAACAAACAAGCTGTCCTGCCTGAGAATGAGTTCCATGTCTGATATACATGTCTGAAGTATATGTCTGATATTTTTGGCAATACTCACCAGATTGCATAGTCCTTGCATTAATTTGATGACAACACTCCTGCAAGCGTGACAAGTTAATAACATCTTCAATATAACCTCGACTATTGTCGCATTTTTTATAACGATCTTGATTCTCTGGTGGTGTTTTAGACATACTTGTTCCTCGTCCTTCCAATTCATCTGAAATCAAAACAAATAAAGAGTTAGATATAAAAACATCTGCACACCTGAGGATTATTAAAAGCTTAAACCAGAAGAGTCAATCATATATTTTTTTTCATTTTAATGTATATCTTATGGTTATATAAAAAAATAAATTATCATTATACACAATCACAACCATTTGGTTTAAAACTCTACCAGAGCAGTTTAGTCAAAACATTTTGTTTTTACCTTCTTCTTCTATTCTATCTTTGGTCTCTCTTGATAAATCAACTATCATAGGTAACCCATTCATTTGCCATTTGTCTAGTTCTTGAACAGCTTGAAGGGCGGAATCCTTTTTTGCATATCGAACAAACCTGCAATTCATGTAGAAATATATTTTAATATATCAAAATAATCTATCTTTAATTATCAATAGAAAAAAGAATTAGATAGTCAATCTGTTTTTAATCCCTCATTTACAGTCAAGTAACCTAATTTCGTGGAAACCTATTATTCGTGGATTTCCGGAAAGGATTAATAATTTACATGAGCAACCTTGCGCGACCTCCGCATTAGTTTGTTTTAATAAACATGGGGTTTCTCTACAATATCAGCTAGTAGAATGAATCCAGTAGTTGCAAGCAAGGTAAAATGTATTAATGTATACTTTGACAAATACAAAATGGCGGATTTCACTTATTACCAAACGTCACCATTTTTTATCGGCCGAATTTCCTTATAATCCCTAGCCGTAATCGGAATTCCAAGTGTCGTCTGCTAGAATGTAGTCCAACGAATGAAGTCACGTGATCAACTAGCGGATTCCGTGTCAGCAGAAAATTTCTATGGAACACAAAGTGGACCATATTCTTATGTTGTTTCAGTGACTTTTAGCAATAAATCACGCTACGTATCTTATTTTGTCAGTCACTTTTTTTTTTTTAAATCGTGGTTCTTTGAAGGAATTGTCACTAGTTATAATGAATTGATATTAAAGATAAATACAAAGAGAAGTTAATTATATCACCCGGTATCCATACAACGTGTTTTTCTAGACTTATTTATAGATAAAACATTGTACACGAAAATAGGTGATGCATTCTGCCGCCGTTCCCGAGTTGGTTGCTCATGAAATATGGGTCAAAGTGAAGGATTCATTAAGAAAATCGAAATAAACCAATTTCTATTATTTTGTAGAATATCTGAGGAAACATCTAAGACATAAAATTTTTTTTTCGTTTTTTTAACTTTGACGAAATTCGGCGTTGAATCCTTATATCCACGAAAATAGGTTACACCATTGTAACAGTGATACCTATAGGACTTTTCTATTTAACTGGACATTTGTACCATAGCACTGAAATCACATATCCAGCCACAAGATAGTTTTACCACGGAAAACTTACCCATACGCATAATTTTGATCTTCAGACTTAAGAGTAAATATTTCCACTATCTTCCCACATTTTGAAAACAATCCAGTCAAATCTTCCTTAAATAAGAACACAAGATGTTACAATTTACTGACATATTTTCTCAATAGAACTGTCACAGAGCTTAGAGAATGTTAGTGTTTAAGACTTGACAATATATTCAAAAGTGAACTATAATCAAACTGATACCTTCTTAGTTGACTGGGACAGGTGTCCAACAAATACTGAATAGTTATCTTTTCTTTTAGACATCCTTTTCACATTTGTAAGGTTTTGTCTTTAATGAGGTATTATATTATAGTTTATCTGTTTCAGTTCTTCTTCCAAATTCTAAAAAAAAAGTCAAAACAATAAAAAGACATTCTGTTTGTTGCATAGATGTCCAATGAAAGCACTATGTCTCAAGAATTTCAAAGTTGGTATATGGCAACTGGCACTGGCTAGGTTATAAATAAGTAGTAACTTATTGAACCTACAATTTTCGTGTGATCCGAGTTGCAATTCCTTAATGGACTCACTCCACTAAAACATTTTATGCAAATGATTGTAGGAATGTAGTCCAGGCTATTTTTAGAAATCTTCTTTCTCTCTCCCTTTTGGGGTTTTTGCCTGCCTATTTTTGGGTAAAATTTGGTCTAGATTTGGAATTTGATGTCTGAAATTGCATTATCTTTCAGATTTGGTGAGATGATGAGAGACTTAAAGGCGGAAGGCTAATTCTAAAAATAGTCGTTTTGTGAAGTGCCAAACTCTAGCGGATGAGTATAACCGGTAGTAGTCTACTTTCAATTTTAGTAGCTCAAAATTTTCATGGTCATCATATAATGAATTTTTTAGGAGACATTGAGAATTGGTCAGGGTTTCATTCGACATATTGGAAAGCTTTCAACGAGATTTCTGGAAAAAGTTATAGAAGGTTGAATTTCGTGTTTTAACATGGGAAGAGATGGCAAATGAATTAGTGGAGTGAGTCCTAATGTAACTTATGTAGAGTTATTCCTCTTGAATGAAATAGACTGCATCGTCCAGCAACTGGCATTGATAAATTTACATTTTTGACTCGCACCACAATAACATTTGATACTGAAAGGCTTTCAAATCGCAGAGAACTTCAACCTCGATAATACATACAATACTGTCGCAATTCAATAATTTCAATAATAAAATTAACCTCTCTTCTACAAGTGATTAAACGAGAAATTTATTAAAAACATATTCCAACATAAACTCACTTGGTCACTTGTGGTATGATGAAAATGGATGAAGATTGATATTATGAGGTAAATTTTAAATAGATACACTTCACTCCCAAAAAATTAATTTTCAGACTGAAAATCCCTCTCTCTAAAATTATGTTTACAAAATAATCAAATGATAACTTTTCCAGTGATTAACATTTTCATCAACTCAAGAGAATTAAAAACTTTCAGTAGCATTTTATAATTGATATTTCAGTTCATATGAAAATGATTGAGAATAGTAGTGTGTGTGTGGACCAAAAAGCTATGATTGCCTTTTTTATCCTACAGATATCGTCCTGCTGAATTGCTTAATTTTGAAATGTATGCTAATCAAGGATTGCCACAAAGCTTATTCAAGGTGTCAATACCAAAAATCACTACTATATCATGTATTCTTCCAATGTTTGCTACAACATTCTGTGTGACATACTCCATCATTAATAATTTTGAACAATCTACTCTTACACATTGTCAGGTTAGTACATTTGTAAAGATAAAGTCTGAGATATCATATATTAACTCCGCAACCTTAGTCAGGGCCAGGGCAATAACTCTGTTTGAAAAATCAGTTTTATGGAGTAGATTTGCCTACTAAGAGTTAACCTACTGCAATTTTTGCTGTATGATACAATAATTTTAAATATAAATATTTTTCAGGTGTATAACTTCCTACCATCAATAAGTGCAGCAATTGGTGATTTTAGACCCCAAGTTTATGTATGGAGATTGTGTATAGCTTTACATTCTGGGCCAAGGTTTCTCCTAGCCATGATATATTATGGTTTTCATACCACAATTAAACTTGGCCGTTCTAATGAACACTACATGACATTAGCAGCAGTTTCCTCTTTATCACATATTACAGAGATTGTGGCCTTGTTAGGTTTAAGTTATATTTCATCTTCTGATAATTTTGGTATGTAACATTGCATAGATAGGTCGTTACATTGGTGCACGTCTTGTGTTTTCGCTTGGCCGATTTTATTTACTTGATAATCGATAATGATATTTATATATAATGTGGACTTCAGCATTGAGTTTAATCAAGAAAATTTAACATAGGGTTTTGCTTATTTAAACTAATCACTATTTTGAAAGTAGTTTAATGAAAAAGGATTATTGAGCGTATGGTTGACTGTTTTCAATGTTAATGTCATTACATGGTCTATTTCATTAAAACTTTACTTTTTTTAGGTATACACAAATTGTTTTTCATAACCTTCATGTTGTGTGCTTATGTTCATATGGTTTTAACTATGATAATATTTTATTGGGGAAGAACTCAAAATGGACGACAACTCACATATATGGTAAGTCAATCAGGCATGATCATCAATTATTCAAGAATTGATACAAAAGAATCCTTTCAATATTATAGAAGCTAGCATGCCAGGAAAGTTAACATACACCCACACAGTAGTTTTGTAAATTGTCCAATATTTTTAAAAGCACAATAAATTCCAGATCTCATCTTTTATGGGCAATAAGTAAAATTGTTCATGGAAAAAACCCCAATTTTAATCTCAGCCATAACCTCAAAACTTCCTCAAAAACAGTAGCATCTATTGTATTCCAAATAGGGGTTTTGACATTGTTTTATGATAATATGCTATTGTGCATACTACAAGATTTTGATGTATCAATTCCTTCGATATAAAAGATTGATATATTACACAGTATATGGATATGAATATTATTGCATGAAAACAGGCTGCTCTAAATAAAATATTTCTATCAATATTGTAATTTTAGGAATCTAAATCATTCAAGTGGAAGAAGATATTATTTGGTATTAATCTAGGAGTATTTTTACTAGCCATGTATTTTTATAATCAACATATGAATTATTGTCAAAATAATGGTAGGTTGTTTCTACATATCAACATATTTTATTTTTGAGTTGCGAATATATAGTTAAGACAGTTTTCCATTAGATGAATTTCTTTTACACGACATACCTTTGTATGTGCATTAATATGAAGGTCAAAGATTTTAATTGAAAAAAAAATTGCCATGACGACCGCAAAAGGAGTATAAATTGTCATTGATGTCAAAGGTTGCTAAGAAGAAGGACATGAGGTGAAGTAAATAAATAATCACTTTATTGAGATTTGTCTCAATACACCCTAATACTACTTTGCTACTAGAAATTTTGCTTTTTCATTTTTCAATCATGACTGTATCTCTATTTCAGTGTACAGTTACTTCGCATTTTGTGAATATATTGTGATATTTTCAAACATTGGTTATCATGGTACTGCCATCTTGGATTTTAAACCTCAGTCATTATTAGTTCAAGCTCCTGTAAAAAATTATTCTGAACTGGAGGAAGTTTTATGATGAACACTGAATATAGTCAAAATCGACTAGTTGATATAATTCAACTTAATATCTTTTTTTTTTCCTTTATATACAATTTATTCTGAGGTAGTAGTGATGATGACATGTGTCCAAACCACACCCCCATTCATCATACATCCTCGGATCCGTGGTAATACAAGTGAGAAAAACGTATTCATAGCTAATTATTGTCCAATCAAAATTGTCTTTAGTGTATTGGTAGCAGATTTCAGCCAATCAAAACAAATCACTTGTTATGAAGCTCTGTTTGCGAATGTAAACCAAGTGAAAGCAGCATGCTATTGCATATTTTGATGAATAAGTAGTATACGGTACAGAATTGAGTAAGGTTTTCGTTAAAGAATTGAAGACGAGAGAAAATAAACCTTTACTTTGGAATATTTACTTGGAAATAATGTGTTTTTATATGCCCACATTATAATGTAAATAATCAAATAAGACTGTAATTCATAATTTGAATCTTCTCTACTAATATTATTACACTTTAGCCTTATTCATTGTGCATTCTTATTGAAGTGATGTAGCTTAATTTCATCTCTGCATATAAAAGCATATGTAGACAATGAAAAAACAAATTGTCTTCTACTTATTCAGTTGTTTCTGAAATAATAAACCAAAAAATATTTTTTTAGCCCAAGGTTTAATTGTTAATTGTGACCGAGCCATTACATAGAAATCCCTGTTCTTTGTGCTATATTAAATGCAATGCAATGCAGGAAAGGCTAGGATAATTTTAGATTGTTTCTAGAAAAGTATCACAGATGCACTAAGAGGATTTCCAATGGCGAATCTTGAAGCTGTTAGTAGCTCTTCTATACAATAGACAAATTAATTTTTCTTTTCTGTTGGTTAATTAATTAATTAATCAATGATCTGACTGCATCAGTCTTCAAATCATGTTAACCCAAATTACAAGTTGTAGACAGCTTGTTATAGGTGTTATAGAAGATACTGTCCTATAGAAGCACGGGTCTAGGTCACAAGTAGAGACTATGGATTTGAACATGAAAACTATTTCAATTCAAATAGAATATGTTTTACTGAAGATTATTCATAGATAATTACTTCTGGAGAGATTACAAGAAAAAATATATTCAACTCAAATTCCAATGCAATTGTTTCAGAGAGTTGATATTGCACAGAGTATTTGATTGAATGAATAGTTAATGGATCATGGATAAAGTCACTCACAGCAAAAAGAAAACAAATAATGATAAATATTGAAATGATCTCATTAACAAAACTAATTTGTATATAATATTTTATAATAAATAAAATTTGCAAACAGGTAGATACAATAAACAATCAAATTAACATTTCATAGCTAGAAATAAAAATATTATGGCACATTCAATTTGCTTTACTTAACTTTATTGAGAATTTTAAGTTGAAAAAAAAAAGAGTTGAGTGGTATATCAGAATAGCACCCTCAGTACATAAGGATAAAAATGTTTTATCACAAAAAACAGTTTCTTTTTTAGATGAGGGGACCCCGTTTCAGTAAAGGACTAAAGACAAAATTTCTATTTAGATCTGACTTGCGAAAGAAACTTTTGTGTTTTTCTAAAATCCTTCCACATTTAAAAGCTCTTGACTCAACTTTAGAATTGCTGCAGAATGGATGAAACTTGCCATTTTTCTCTACTGAGAACTCAAAATATGTTACTTTTGCTCAGCATAATTTGCAACTGATAACTGTAACATAAATTGTAATGTAAATATCATGAGTATGATTTAAAAATCATTTTGTTGAAAAATTAGTTAAAAGTATTTGTGACTTATAATCTTTATGAAATTAAGTGAGCATTGTAAAGCCCCCTCTACTTGATCAAACATTTTTTCAAAACATCATCTTTCCCAAGTAGGCTGAATATGGTCAAACATGTTTGTAGTCACATCATGTGACTGCCTCCCCAAGTGACTTTGCTTTCAAAATAGGAGCTGACACAGATCAAGTGTGAACAGTGAATACGATGCATCTCATAACTGAATCTTTGTAATTTGCTGTTCCTCACTCAATGCCTGATAAGCCTAATTCTTCGTTCGATCCAGTCCCTGACCTATTTCGCGCTCTCCTCTTCTGCCTTTGTCAACAAAGAATTGTCAAAATAATAACTGATGCAGCAGCACCACAGTGTAGACTGATTAGAGCAACTATGTCTAACATAGTATAATGATGTTGTTGATGATGTCAGACAGAAATCCAAAACAAGCTTTGACATGGGCAAACAAATGTGTGATGATGTTTTGTACAAATGTATGATCGTGTTGACAGGGCCTAAGAAATTCGTAAATTACATACAGATAGCTTGCCAGGCAAGGTAACATACGCCCTCTGGCAGCTGTCAGAGATGATAACTAAATCTTTATTGACCGAAAATATATTAAAAATCTTCATAATAATACCAAATTTCTCATATTGAAGATCTTCATTATGCATTTGTAGTTCAAAAACCCTGAATACCTCATCAATTTAGGGTCAGTTATGCTGAGTTTTTTCACAAATCTTTTAAAATCAATAGCAATAACCCAGAAGCATTGAATTATCACACTGCTCTCGTGTCTGAAATTTTCAAAGATATATAATAACGTATCATCAAATTCACACTAACTAACTAACATAGACAAATTTGAACTTTACTCCCATTAATATATACCTGCATACCAAGTTTCATCAAGGTACAAGCTGTAGCCCCCATCGTGTTTACAAGTCAAATTTGATGTATTTTATTAAGTCAAGGGTAATAACTCAAAAAACGTTCGTTGAAAATTCGTTAAATTCGAACTTGACCAACCTCATATCAATCCCAATGCTCACACCCAGTTTCATCAAAATACATTGAAAATTGTAGCTTCTATTGTGCCCAGAACAAAATTTTGATGCGATTTTACTAAGTCAAGGGCAATAACTAAAAAAAAATTCATCGAAAAATCATCAAAGTCAAACTTGACCGCCATTTTATCAATCCCAATGCTCACACCAGTAGCTTCTAGTGTGCCCACAACAAAATTTTGATGCGATATTACTAACTCAAGAGCAATAACTCAAAAACCATCCATGGAAAAATCATCAAATTCGAACTTGACTGCAGACTTATGAATCCCAATGCTCACACCAAGTTTCATTGCAATCAATTGAAAACGGTCGTCTCTATTGTGCACACAAGAAATGTTGACGGATGGACCGACGGTCAGGGACAACAACAATAAAGACGACCACATGGGCGTATAAAAACAGTCTTATGATGATTTTTTCTTGGACGGTTCATTATGAGCTTCTATTGGCCAATTAGTTTCAGCTTGAAACTCTAGCACCACTACTTTTAGATCGATAACAGCCGTAAAATGGAATCCAATATTCAGCATTATCACCATATATTCACATACTGCAAAGTAAGTATAGGCTGAAATTGAGAAAAAAGTTGTATATCAGTAAAATAACCATGATTTCTTATCATGACACCCCATCTATATGTAAATTATAATCTTACTAATTTTATTCCAAACATTACCATAGTACCTTCACTGACCCTTGCACCCCCCTCCCCTCCCAAAGAATTGGAATCAATTACAGAAAATTAAACAGAGACTTGTGACAGGTTTCTCAAAAGCTTACAATATCAAATGTTTTAATGGACAAATAAAAGAAATCAAAAACTTTCCAAATATTAGATATTAGAAAAAAAACAAGCAATATCAAATCAATATATAATAATTTTAGTAAATGATTTTAAAAAGTCAATAAAAGGAATACTACTCTTGAATGAACATAAAATTTGAAAATATTAACCTTGGCTTCTAAGTGCATATTCATCAGTAGATATACCTGGTGTCATAAATAATATAACTGCAGGACCTTTATATAACCCGATAAATCCATAAGACTTACTTATTATCCATAAAAAATGCAATTAACTATTGAAAAACGCTTAATTTTAATTCTGTTGTAACTTTATCCACCAGGTAAGTTTACTGATGAATTTATATTCATATTGCCCATTCTTGAGAACTTAAATTTTATGTTCATTTGAAGATGTATCACTTTAAAGAAGGACAGTACAGAAATTCTATTGAATTGAAAAGCAACCTGAAACATTAATCATGCAAATCAAAGAGAAAATTTTAAAGATAGCTTGCCAGGTAAGTTAATATACAACCACTAGCATTGTGTCCAAACCACACCCCCATTCATCATACTTCCTCGGGGCCGTGGTTAAATTACGTATTCATAGCTAAATATTGTCCAATCAAAATTGGTCCTACTGTATTGGTAGCAAATTTCAGCCAATCAAAGCAAATCACTTGTTATGACGCTTTGTTAACGAAAGCAGCGTGCTATTACATATTTGATGAATAGTACGGTACAAAATTGAGTAAGATTTTTTTGTTAAAGAATTGAAGCTGAGAGAAAATCAACCAATTTTAACTTGGAAAGAATGTGTTCATATCTCTTCAAACAGGCGGTGGCATTGAAGCCGAGAGCAAAACAACCCTTACTTTAGAAATTGAACTTGGAAAGAATGTGTTATTATCTCTTCAAGGGGGCAGTGGCAAAGCGGTGTTGTGTTTTGTTTACATGACCTCATTTCTGTTCTACCGATCTAATTGGTCAGATTTAAATAGCACTAATCTCATTTCCACCCCCCCAAAACGAAGTGTAGTGGGATAAGTTTATTTTGACCATGTCCAAACCCGTATTCGTGATACGATGACACACTAGCAGCTTTAATTTGAGTAAAAAAATTTGGCAGTACAGTAACAATTACCAGTATGAAATATCCAACCTTTAGTCCTACACTTCTTTGGAACTTTTTGGGGCGATACTATATAATATTACCAAGTTTTGTCAAAATCTGGCAAGAATCATGCCTTTTAGTGTTTATGAGCTAAGAACAAGGTCAATAACTCCTATAAAACATTTTTTCATCCATGGGTGATAATAAATAATTTATAAATTTCGTCAAAATCTGTTAAGAATTGTGCCTTCTAAGGTGTTGACGAGCTAAAAATTGAACATGATTTCAAAATAAGGACAATAACTAAAGTATACTAAATACTTTTTGATTCTTCTGATTTTCAATAGGGTTCATCCTAAATTAGATGATTACAAACACCCACACCATATTTCGTCAAAATCCGTCAAGAATTGCGCCTTCTGGAGTGTTTAAGAGCATTTCAAGAACAAGAACAATAACTCATACTGAATATTTTTCGATTTTTGCGATTTTAAATAGGGTTTATCCTTGGGTGATTACTAACAATCATACCGGGTTTCAACAAAATCAATCAAAAGAGCAATTGTGGACAGACCGACGGACGGACGTTGGTGATGACAATATTGTAGTAGATTGTACCTTCAATTATTATTCTTTATAATTGTCATGTGAACTATTAATGTAATCATGTGACAATATCAACCAATGAGATTACATAATAAAGCTTTAGGGCAGTATGTAGAAAATGGTGTCTTACGTAACCCAACTGTCACATGGTTGCCAGAAGTGAGATAGAAAAATAGAAATAAGGAGAAAATTCAGCCTCCCCAGCCCAATAATTTTCAGTTCAAACATTGCAGAGAATTAGAGAAAATGGGAGCAGAGGTACAGAATTTATATGAAGGCTGAAGAATTGTCAGAAAAAGACAATGATGTGCAGAGGCGGTCAACATTCATGATACTTTTGTTTATGGTGCACCAGATAGAGCGGCAGTTGAAACAGTTATTGAAAAATTTAAAGCCTACTGTCAGCCTAGAGAAAATGAAGTATATGAAACATATAAATTTTGGGAGCGTAATCAGCTTGAAGGTGAATCTATAGATAATTGGGTGACAGAATTGAAGTCAAAAGCTGCATTATGCGATTTGGAGACCAAAGAGAAACTAGAGCCACAAGTGGCGGCACAGAGTGAAACTTTACACTGTGGAAAATGGCAAAAGTCTAAATTTACAACATTTTACGAGTTTGGAAGGTTGTGAAACTGGAAGAATACGTCAGATATCAGAAATGAAAGTATCAGCGAATAGCCAAAGTCAATGACCTTTGACATTGAAAAGGGAAAGGTCAACAAATGTCAAGGTCACAAGATATAACTCATCAAATATTCAAAATGCATACGGCTACAAAACCGGAAGCTGACATTGGACATCAAATATGTAAGTATAAATAGATAACCAAGGTCAATGGCCTTTGACTCTACAAAAGTTAAGGTCAACAAAGGTCAATGTCAAAAATTGAAAATAGGGAAATTCTTACATCCGTTTCTATAAAGCAGAAACAACTGAGCTTTTAACACAAACTGGCCATATGGATGAGGTAATTGTGTGCAAAGTCCCTTTTTGAACAAATGTATCCTATGTGTGTTATGCCCCTGCCCCAGATTCAAACAATTAGTAATTTAACACAGATGTGCCACGCCCACCTTACCTTTTTTGTCATAAGATTATTTATATTTAAAATGTCTACTTGTGTTCCAAATTCCAAGCTTCTACACCAAATAGGTCATAATATATACATACACTAAGCTCAAAGAGCCAAAAAAATTGTAAAAAAAACTCAAATATAAAAAAAATCACGAATTTCAATTTTGCTTTAAAAAACAATTGTTATATATCACTGGAAAGAGCATTAGAAGCACATTAAGAATCCGAAAAAAACCTTTAATTAATTTGGTGCTAGAGCAGTCCAAAGTTGCAAATTGGGCTGTTTTTGGACAGCTATTAAACCAGAAGCAGATGTCGGAGGTCAAATGTCAAGGTATCAAGTGATAGCCAAGGTCAATGAAATCTGAAATTCCAAAAATGAAAACCCGAAGAAAATCAACCCAGAAAGGTGACCTCTAAAGCCAATTTTTTACTTTTTGCACATGTTGAAATGTGACACTTCCGGTTTTACAAAAATGTTCCAATTTATATTTATGCACATCATCGCCTATATAGAGGGTCTATGAAAGTTGAAGGGTTGCTGCAACTACTGCAGTCTAAGTACAGGAAGGTGTATAAAAAACTAAAAAAAAAAAGAATTGACATTTGGATAACAAACAAAAATAAGTCGTGATTAAATAGTGTTTGGTGTGAGAGACAAGCGAGTAAAATAACGTTTGTTGAGAGATACTGAGTTGAAATGGCTTTTGAAAATTACAGAGCAGCTGAAGACTATGAATGGTGAAATTGCTGCTGTAGATAGTATAAGAAAATTTTCAAAAAAAAATTCTGCATACCACAGATACGATGAAAATAAATATAAACCTAGGGATAGGTTCAGTTTACACTGACAGGTAAGATAGGCCTAGACATCGAACCATACTGACAGATCACAGGACAGTTCTAGAAGGTCAACAGACTGTAAACACTGTGGTTTAGAGCACTAACCAAGGAAATGTCCAGCCTGGGGTAAAAGGTGTATGAAATGTAAAGGAAGAAATCACTTTGCAGTTGTATGTAATAGTAGTTATAAAAACAGAACTAAAGATGTACATGAATTTCATGAAACTGTAGACTCTGACATCAGTGATTACAGCTATGAAGATACACTCTTCATCAATACAATAGATACTAACAGAAACTTGTTTGTTGGAAGTCTTAACAGTGATGATAAATGGCATGTTGATGTTATTTTAGAGAATGCTGGTCCTGTAAGATTCAAATTGGACTATGGAGCACAGACCAATAATTAGTTGTCAGTGTATAAGAAATTAAATCCTCGTCAACAACCAACACAGTTTTACATACATTTGGTAACTACAAAATCAAACCCATTGGTAAAACAGAGGTGAAGTGTACAAAAGGCAGTACAGGGAAAAATCTACAATCAGTGTTGATAAGCCAACCGACTGGGTGAGCAATTTTGTTATCGTAGAGAAGAAAAGATCATTAAATTCAACACAGACAAAATTCAGTATAAGGTTAGTGAAGTCAAATGCATGGATAATCTAATAACATCAAAAGGGTTAAAACCTGATAAAACCAAAGTTTGAACCATTGTCAAAATGCCCAAGCCAGAAGATGACTTCTTGGGATGATTGAGTATTTATCTCAATACATACCAAATGAATCTGAAATAACAGCTCCACTACGTTGAATGGTCATGGCAACAGTTAAAAAAACATTTTAACAGTTGAACCTGTTTAAGAATTCTTTGATGTAAACAAACGTGTTCAAATCCAAGCAGATGCTTCAAAAGATGGTCTTGGAGCATGTCTTCTACAGAATGGTAGACCTATCGCACACGCATCGAGATCTCTTCCGACTTGTGAGAGGAATTATGCACAAATTGAGAAGGAGATGCTTGCTCTTCATTTTGCAACAACCAAATTTCACCAGTATATTTATTATAGAATCAACTTTTAATTATGTACCTAGGAAATATTTATATGTTGCTAACACATTATCTAGAGCATACCTTACAAACATATCTGATGAAAATACTGACGACATGCAAGTTGAAATAATGGTTTACTGTTTAATAGAAGATTTCCCTGTAAGCGCTATGCAGATACAAGATCTTAAGGCTGAGAAGCAGAATGATCCAGTACTCCAATCTGAACGTCAACTGATTAAAGATGGGTGGCCAAACTGTACATCCAGCACTCCACTCAATACCAGAGCATATTGGCATTGTTGTAATAAAATCAACGAAGCTGAATGATTATTATTTCGTGAAAATAGTATCATCATTCCATCATCTATGATTCCGAATATGTTGAAACTAATACATGAAAGTCATTTAGGAGCAGAAAAGTCCAAGAATCATGCAAGATCAATTATGTATTTTCCTGGAATGGGTATTAAGTGTACTACATCCCTTAATCAATAGTTTTGCTTGATGTCCTCTTTCTAACAATGTATAATAATAGATATGTCAATAAAAACCATGACTTAAAATATTTAAGATAGCTTGCCAGGCAAGGTAATAAACGCCCACTGGCAGCTTTGATTTTAAATAGAAATATTTGGCAGTACAGTAACAATTACCAGTATGAAATATTCAACCTTCAGTCATACATAATAATATCACCAAGTTTCATCAAAATCTGTAAAGAATTGCGCCTTCTAGAGTGTTTACGTGCGTTTCAAGAACAAAGGAAATAACTCATACTAAATATTTTTCGCTTTTTCTGATTTTCAATAGTGTTCATCCTTGGGTGATTACAAGCAACCATACCAAATTTTGTCGGAATCAGTCAAGAATTGTACTTTGGACGGACGGACATGGGTGATGGCAATATACGCCCCCCCATTTCATGTGGACGTATAAAAATGAACAAGAGAAATGACTTATCAAGAAATATATTATGAGATGAACTAGCTGAGCTGCCTGCCTCAAGAGGTTGAGAGCTGAACTTTTTTTTCCCTGTGTGCTCTCAATTTCTGAGCCGTGAATAATGCAGTTTTAGAAGATCAACTTGCTGAATGTCTATACGCTGTTTTTTTTTTCTAGAGAATATTTTATGTATTCTACAGAATACATGTATATGAGTTTATATGCTTTGAGTTTAAGCGACATACTTTCCCCATGAGCTGAATGATAGACAGGAAAGAGTTTTATAATATTATTATTAACATGACTTAATAATTCAAAGAATATATTTAAAAATGCAAACTGATTTTTTCATATTTACCAAGACTTTATAAATCTCCAACTGGTAGACTAACTAGTGATGTTTTTTGCCATTATCAACTAGATAACTATCACATATTGTAAAACAAAATGAAGGGATGTCACAATACAACGTAGCATGAAATAAAATGTTTGTGAATATGATAACATATTCTAAGACTGAAAAAACAGAGTATACTGAAAAAAAAAAATGATAAAGACAAGTACCATACACCATGAAAATAGTCCTAATATGTGTTTTTCTGAAGCTGACACCTTGGGCTAAAATAATTCTTGAAGCTTTGATTTGATACACTTTAATGATACACATCCAGCAATATGATTTATTGCGATAATAAAGCTATTCATTTATGATCAAAAAGATAAAAATTGTGGTTCATTGATTTATCAGTGAATCGTTGCAGCCCAAATGGCACGAACTACCCCAACACCAAAGTTACACACATGACTCAGTACCGTAGAATAAAATTTTGAAATTCAATGCTTACGCTTATTTCACAGATACAATATCAGTGGAAATGGTTTAAATTATAAAATTTAACCTACCTCTTGGTTCACAATAATTATTGTGGCGATAGAAAAAATATAACGATATCAAAAACATGCTAATTTTAAATAACACCAAATAGACCTTTAAATTTAAAGATTTCTTCTCCTGTAATAGAATAAGTAACATTTGGATAGCAAAATAAAATATAATATTTACGTTGTTGAAAAGAATAAAAGGTGTTTTTGTCAAGAAGAATTAGACAGTGAATCCGCCTTTTAATTAGACTGGTTCATTTTACATCATGCAGAAAGATTGTTAATTCTTTAAATAACATTCAAAGCCAATTCAAAATTTATTCTTGCTTCAAGACATTGCCATTTTCAGCTAAATTTATTTCAAACTCTAATCCAGTTGACAATGTGAAATAAAGCAATAAAGTTGGCTACACACCTGCTTGGTAAGTTCTATTGTTTTACCATAGCCAATTAAAAAGCATGTTAAAAGCATGTACAATATACTTGAGATTATGAACAAAATAAACATGGACTCATGGATTCCTGAAAGATAATTATTTCAAACAATTAGACCAATATGCAAAGTAGTACATTCAAACTCATTAGCTAATTACAGATATAGTATCATTATATATAATATGGATATTATGGAACATCAATCACAGGTTAGTTAAAGTTCAATATGCATACCAATTCATCCAAATCTGACCAAAACTGTAACCTCTGATGTGATCACAAAGTTAATTTTGACATCATACAATTAACATTGAATTGTGAACTTGTTTGCGCTCTTACATATATACATACCTGTAATTCATCCAAACTTGACTAAAATTTTCGCCAAATTGTGGACGATCGACAGAGTGACAACTTTCAACATAAAAACTAAGTTCACTTACTATAATTTTCTGTTGATGAAACATAACTTAGTGTAATCAAGCCAATGAGTTCCATAATATGTAGTACTGTATTGAGAACAACCAAACATTTGTATATTGTCTTGTGAGTACCAACATTTCGAGATGTATGAAATTTATAATATGAAATTGCAATGAAAAACCGTGGTCCACAATGCAGTGCAATACATATTCTCCAAATATACTTTTGAGGAGCAAAATGGCTGATTGTTGAACTGACTGATGGAAAGAAATTATATACCTGAAAAAAATTAGCAAGAGTTTGTAGGACAGTCTTGCCTGATAAGCGTCAAACAAATATGGTGGATGTTTTGATCTAATCACATTCTGTGTGAAGGTTCAATGACCTTGAATAAGTCATCCTTCCTCAGCTTCTTGTTAATTGGTATCGGTATGAAGAAACAAAATGAATGTAAATGCTAAGATAACAAAAGCTTATTACCGGCATTATACTGTGTACTCACATTGCAGTGTGTATGGTTGGCTTCTTGAAAATTATAGAGAATGGACCAGATAATACAAAATATGGTAGCAAAAATTGGTAACAGAGAACTAATAATGACTAAATGTGGTATTGGCAAATGAAAAAGTACTGGTTGCACGGTTCTCTTTGATTTGTAAGAACTATTATTTATTGGCCATTCCATCTCAATTTTCTAATATCTTCCTCTTTGCCACTGCAATACAAATAAATAGTGCATTGCATTCAAATACACCAACCTCGGCATTCAGATGATGAAATGCCATACTTTCCCATTCATAATCAGCTTTTTTTGAAGGTCAAACATTTCTTTGCTCGAATTTGTGAAAACTATACACCAAAATCTAGAGAAATGTATTAAGTATCTGGAAGTTTGAGCTAAAATAATCTAGCTGTTAATTTTTTAATGCCAAAATTATTTAAAAAGTTTTTGTGTCATTAAAATTGATGAGAATTACAGTTTTTATTGTTTAAACCATAAAACTGTATACAAACAAATTATATGTTGGCATCTAGGGCCTACTAATGATTTTATGAATGATTGGACGGACATTTAAACATCAAAAAGTAGTAGGCTAGGCTAGTTAAAGTGATACTACGTTTTGGGATGAATATATAATTTAAGTTCTCGAAAAGGTCAATATTAGTCTATATGGCCCTATTCATCAGTTACGTCTCAGTTAGCTTTAGCTTACCTGGTGTCATAAAGTTACACAGAATCTCTGTAAAATTGGAAAATTCATAAAAATAAGTAGGCCTAATCATTGAAAAACGCTTAATTCTGATAATAAGCGTTTTTCAATGGTGAATTGCATATTCATGGATAATTACAAAATTTTTTGGATTTATCAGATAATATAAGGATCCTGTTCTGTTATATATCTACTGGCTTTTATTCGCCAAGTTTAAAATTCTTAAATTTTATGTTACTTCTTTTAAGACGTAGTATCACTTTAAGAAAAAGGTTTTTCAGAACTAAAGAATTAAGAACACTTTGACTTTAGATTTATTTCATGTTTTAGGAGACTAGATCTACCTATTGTTCAGTTTCTTTGAAAGATTTGTACAATTATTTCGAAAAAGCTATACTAAAAGAAAAGACTGGCTTTTTGTTTACAGTAGTTATTCGCCCCTGTCAAAATACGTGTCATGTAGAAAGAAAACTCACGATCGCATTTTGATCCTGACTACATAAAACTTTCAAGCCGGGATCTGGGATTTCGAGTTTAGTAGACTCCATCTCCTAGTCATCATATCGATTGCTTGTCTCACGAACACGTGATATTCACATAAAATGTCGGCCGTGTTTATTAGCATGGCAAATCGTGTTTCGTCTTGTTAATTTTGCAAGGAAGTATTTCCAATACAGCGTTCTTAAGGGTTGCTTAGTAATAATATTGGCGTAAACTTTGACAACATTTTAAAAAGAAAGCTTAGCTCGAAAGTCTTATAGTATAGACCTACTTTGAAGAATGTGACATTGTGGTGAAAAAGGGTGTTGCCTTTTACTGTAAAGAGTGTTGCCTGCCTAGTTAATTGACTCATTTCTTTTTTCGGAATCGGAGTAGTTTGTTGTCCACGTCGTTCAGTATTCAGTGTAAGAGTTAATAATTCTTATAATGGAGACATTACCAGCTACCTGGGACATGTATGATTTGTTTCAAAGTTTCTTGAGAACACCGACTTACCATTTGATAGTTGAAGTTTGCTTGGTTCTTCTCATCATCAAACTCATATTTTCCAAAAGTTATAAACCAGAGAAAACAGTTTTATCAGAGAAAGAAAAGGATGAATTGATAGCAGAATGGACCCCAGAACCACTTGTACCAGACATTCCTGAAGACCATCCAATCATTAAGTTAATGGAGAAAAACATTGTTACTGGACCACCAGGAAAATATATCAATATTCGAAATAAATCCTGCATAAACATGGCTACAATGAATTTTCTTGGAATGATATCTAATAAGACAATTGAAGAGGAAGCTGTCCGTTGTATTAAGAAATATGGAGTTGGATCATGTGGGCCAAGAGGTTTTTATGGAACTATGGATGTTCATCTTGAACTTGAAAGTCATTTGGCTAAATTCATGAATTGTGAAGAGGCCATTATCTATTCCTATGGTTTCGCTACTATATCGAGTGCAATTCCAGCCTACTCCAAGCGTGGTGACATAATATATTGCGATGAAGGTGTTAGTTTTGCTATCCAAAAAGGTCTTGCAGCGTCTAGAAGTGAAATTCGCTTTTTTAAGCACAATGATACTGAGGACTTGGAAAGATTGTTGATTGAACAACAGCAAAAGGACAAAAAGAACCCAAAGAAAGCAAAAGTAACTCGGAGATTTATAGTCATTGAAGGTTTATATCTGAATTATGGGGATATCTGTCCACTTCCTAAAATTGTCGAGCTGAAATGGAAATATAAAGTAAGAATTTTTATGGAGGAGAGCTTCTCATTTGGCGTGTTGGGGTCAAGTGGTAAAGGTGTTACTGAGTATTATGGAATAGATATAGATGAAATAGACTTGATTGCTGCATCTTTAGAGAATGCAATAAGCTCAATTGGAGGATTTTGTGTTGGTAAAAAATATGTGATTGACCATCAAAGACTTTCAGGTCTTGGCTATTGCTTCTCAGCATCCCAGCCTCCTCTTTTGGCTGCAGCTGCTACTCAAGCTCTTGGAATTCTGGAAAAGGATCCAGGACTAGTGACACAATTGAAGGAGAACTGTTTGAGGGTTCATGAAGGGTTGAATAAAATTGAAGGTGTTCAGATTGTGGGATTGCCTTTTTCTCCTGTCAAACACATCAGACTTGTAGAACCCTCTGATGATCGTGATCTAGATATCCAAACCTTAGAATTGGTTGCTGACAGGTCTATTGAGAATGGTGTTGCTTGTACAGTGGCAAGGTATTTGGAGAAAGAAGAAAAGTTTTTGCCGCCTCCCAGTATTCGAATTGCTGTTAATTGTCAATTAAATTCTACTGAGATTGATAGAGTTGTTACAGTCCTAAATGACAGTTTCAATCAAGTATTTTCACTGTAATCAAATCATAATATTTAATACTTTTCTAAAGCTTATCTATTTTATTCTCAATTAAAATTGTTAAATGACATTTTCTTGTTCTTAACAAACCCTGATAACAAACTCTTTACTATTATAGCTGGTTATGCGCCCCATTTGCTCATTTGAGACATAGACTAGCTTCATGAATTTATATGAAAGTGACTTGACTTCTTTATTTAAGCAAACTGTATCAACTCGCTTGAGCATCAGCAGGTCACCTAAAATGACTATCTGCATTTACTGAGCAAGATGCTGGTAACAATGATATTTTTGTCTTTATTCCTTTTACTTCAGACATATGCTTTAAAACTAGTATTATTAACTTGCTACCAATGTTGCCTGCAATCTTGAATCTCAAACATATCGTACTAAAGTGCTGTGAGTCACAGATACAGGCATTAGCAAATCTCAAAATTAATTGAATTGTAGGCAAATTGTTGTAGGCGCATCACTTACATTAATCAAAAACTTTACAGTACATGTACAACTTTGATCGGTTTTGATGCAAGTTGCTAAAACAAAAAGTCACCAAATTGGTTAATCCAATGCAGATATCACAGAAGAAGTATAGTCCAGCAAGAGCAGAGATGTGTGCACATTAACACAAGGTTTCAACTTTATATTGATGTATAAAAAATCACAATTTAAAGGGGTATTCGGCTTTTTGGTACAAAACAAAGTTATGTCAACAACGTAAATTATAACTGAAAATATTTCTAAGGTATGCTATTTATATCTATGTATCTTCTTGATCAAACTGAATTTGTTTTAAAAGGGTTAATTAAAAACAGAGTACTAATTGGTACTGTTTATCCTAGTTTTGGTGTTTGTCTTCATAATGGCTTGATATTATTAGTTGAAACCTTAAGAATACGTAGGAGACATATTTCTCTACAATAAGGCGTTTATTTTACTCAAATCTGTACAGTAGTTTTCTAACAGCTTCCAAAACGCATAACTAACTTTAAAACCTTAAGTAATGTTTTAAAATAATTTTGGTGTTTAAATATTAGGTTAAAGATATGTTAGAGGGCATATTTCTCTACATTTTGATGTATAGTTATTATGAATTTGAGCAAAAAAAAATTTCAGCCTTCATAAAATGGGGAATGTCCCTTTAAGTCTTATTCTATTTCAATTCCTTCCACTTTCATAAAAGATAGCTTGCCATGAAATTTAGTGTATGCCCACTGGCATCTTCAGATATTCAAACATGAGTCATACACTTCTTTCAAACTTTACTTCCAGCAAAGGTTGAGGTAAGTTGAATTTTAAATGCCTATTCTTCATCAGTGATGCAAGTTGAAGGTGCGAACTTGGAAATTATTTTGTTGAGAAGCAATAAACTGAATTTCCAGTGCACCCCAAATTTCAGCACTTTTGGCAGCTGAAATTGTCAAAATATAGACTAACAAAATTTCTGTCACTAAGCCATGTCCCGATGATGCTGGTGTTCATTAGCAGAAACTGAAACTAAAAAGCCCAGCAATATACAGTAATTTATTTAGGAAAACAATAATGCATGTATATCAATAATATACTATAATTTATTAACCACAATTTTCTATGCACTTGAAAAAATTAACTCTTCAATTACATCTACAATTCAAAAAGTTCCCATGCATTTATATTTTCTTAATATAAGAAACAAGAAATATAAGTTTGCAAATATAATTAGCAAAGATGAAATCACAATCATTTGAAATAAAGATGCTTTATTTAAAACAAACAATAAATGTATCCTGTTTGTCTTCACACTTGACTGATTCTAGTTGCACATCATTGACAGTAACTAGCCAAGTTACAGATTCTTTTACTTCTAAATCAAGCTATGGTATTAGTTCAATTCAATGTTCCAACAAAACAAACACTTTCAACAACACTTTAATAGAACAAAGTCTTCATTAACTCAAGTTTATATATTCATAAGATTCCCATCAATTTTTCTACAGTTTCAAGACAAGACACAACTGAAATAAATGTCTGTGTCAGGAAAACATAATGGTCATTTTGTATGAAATATTGCCTTCATGTAATTAAAATTTTACCAATTCATCCACGGTAAATAACCAATCAAACATCTATAGTCACTTTCATTCTCCGTAGCTTTGGTTTGCGTTTTTGTTTGCGAGGTTTTCTATTGTTCTTCATGGTAAAACTAATACACTAAAAATATAATAAAAATAACATCCATTAGATTTACTGCATATTTACAAATCAAACGTTAAAAATGCCTGTGTTAATAAGCTAATTTAGAAAGAACTATTATCCAGCATATTTATTACCATGATCTCTAACAAAATGCATGAAAAACAATGTTATCAATTTGCTTAAAGATGGGTTCCCTTATTTTCATTTATGAAAATGCAAATACTTATATGAATAATAGTAAATGTTCTAATGACTTGGAAAAATACCAGTTTGTCTCACATGTCCATAATTAATTCATAATTAGCTAAATTAGAAGAGAATTACAAGCAGAATATCAATGAGTGATCGATCAAGAAAGGTCAAAAAGTCTTTTTTTTGTTTATGTACATACATGGACATTTATGATTTTGCAATAATGATATGATTAAGAATACATGATTATTCATTACAAACACCAATTAATCAAACAGTTTGCTTAATTTGACACTAAAAATATTGAAACCCATCTTTAAGAATATTCAATTTTTTATTTGTTGTAACAAATAAATTTTGTTTACCTTTTCATCAAAATATTCCTGAAGTTTCTCCATGGAACATTTAATACCATTTTCAGTCATTCTCTTTTTAAAAATATCTATTTCAAGAGGCTGTAAATCAAAGAGTAAGTTTATAAAGGGATTTATAATTACTTAAAAAATATGAAGATATTGGACCTCAGGATTAATCAGAATACTTCAAACAAGCAGAGCAATGGCAGCTCCACTTCTTCTTACAAATAGTTTGCAGTGGTATAAACTCACCTACACAAACAGATATAACAAAAGTTGAAATGTACCTTGTCCTACACAACAGGTTTTTATATTCAAAGCTTTTAGACATTTACAATATACATGTACTTACTATATACTGCAGTGTGTCAATGTGAATATCAGTATTACTCTTGATATATTCTGTTAACTTCTTATGTAATTCACTCTTGCTACACTATAAATAGAATTATATTTCTTTAAAATGTAGCTTTCCAGGAAAGGTAAACATACTATACTTTCATTGACAGCTTTGTTTGATTTGGAAGAAGGGCAAACACAACAACCATGAATAAAAATTATGAATGTATAAGAAAACGCAAATCTCAACCTGACCCAGTAAAATGTCAAATGATTGCAGACTATATTATTCAATGATCTGTTAAATAGTCTGTAGTGTCATACACAAATCTCTTTTATTTAGTAGCTTTTATATTGAGATTTATACTGATACATAAACTAAATGTTAAATTTGAAATGAAGTTTGAAGTCCAACTCTAGTTTTAGCTAATGAAAATAGATAAAATCGATGTACATCTTAACATAAATCATATAGCTTTATAAATTATACCTGGTGTTGGTTCAGATCTAAACCAGCACTTAAAATCTCTTTTGTAAAACATTTTCTTAAGACACTTTGTACTTGATTGAAGATAGCTTGCCAGGCAAGGTAATATACGCCCACTGGCAGCTTTGATTTTGAATAAAAATAGTTAGCAGTACAGTAACAATCACCAGTATGAAATATTCAACCTTCAGTCATACACTTCTTTTGAACTCTTTAGGGCAATACTGAATAATATTGATCAATTTTTAGCTCCTGAAAACTCTAGAAGGCAAATATTCAATCTTCAGCGCAGGACTGTTTTGTCAAAATCCAGTAAGAATCATGCCTCTTAGTGTTTAAGAGCTAAATTTGAATGCGTTGTGGGCGTATAAAAATATTATATTAGGCACATTTCTATATTTCATCCTAACAAAATTGGTTAAACGTGAGCTTGTCACATAACAGAGAAAAACTTCCTACATAAAGATAGCTTGCCAGGCAAGGTAATATATGCCCACTTTGAACATAAATATTTAGCAGTACAGTAACAATCACCAGTATGAAATATTCAACCTTCAGTCATACACTTCTGTTGAACTCTTTAGCACAACACTAAATAATATTGAGTATGAGTTATTGCTCTAGTTCTTGAAAACGTGTTCAATCTTTAGCTCATGAAAACTCTAGAAGGCAAATATTCAATCTTCAGGGCTGAATAATAAGAGCTAAATTTGAAAGCGGTTTCAAGAACAAGGGCAATAACTCATACTAAATATTTTTCAATTCTTCTGATTTTCAATAGGGTTCATCCTTGGGTGATTACGAACATTCACACCAAGTTTCATCAAATTGATTACGTGCTAAAAATTGAACGCGTTTTCAATAGCAAGGGCAATAACTCGATATTTCTGATTTTCAATAGGGTTTATCCTTGGGTGATAACAAACACTCATACCAAATTTCGTCAAAATCCGTCAAGAATTGTCCATTCTAGAATGTTTACAAGCTAAAATTTTAACGCGTTTTCAAGAACAAGGGCAATAACTCATACTAAATATTTTTCAATTTTTCTGTTTTTCAATACGGTTTATCCATGGGTGATAACCAACTCTCATGCTAAGTTTCGTCAAAATCCGTCAAGAATTGTGCCTTCTAGAGTGTTTACAAACTAAAAATTGACCGCCTTTTCAAGAACAAGGGCAATAACTTATACTAGATATTTTTCAATTTTTCTGATTTTTGATAGGGTTTATCCTTGAGTGATTACAAACACTCACACCCAGTTTCGTCAAAATCCATCAAGAATTATGCCTTCTTGAGTGTTTACAAGCTAAAATTGAACGGGTTTTCAAGAACAAGGGCAATAACTGATACTAAATATTTTTCAATTTTTCTGATTTTCGATAGGGTTTATCCTTGGGCGATAACGAACACTCATACCAAGTTTCATCAAAATCCGACATGAATTGCACCTTCTAGAGTGTTTACGAGCATTTCAAGAACAAGGGCAATAACTCATAGTAAATATTTTTCGATTCGTCTGATTTTCAATAGGGTTCATCCTTGGGTGATTACAAACAACCATACCAAGTTTCATCGAAATCAGTCAAGAATTGTGCCTTGTAGAGTGTTTACGAGCAATTGTGGATGGACCTACGGAATGAGGTGACGCCAATATACGCCCCCCATTTCATGTGGGCGTATAAAAATGAATGGAAAAGAATTCTGCCTAAATCCCTGTCTCTCAAACATGTTTAAACTTGAAACCAATTCCAATAAGTATTACATTAGCAATTCAAATTTATCAGAAAAAGGGACATAATTCTGAAAACTTGTAAACTACAAATTTCAAAGATTTCAGTTAAAGGAGCAGTTGATGTGAAATTTGATGAATATAAAACATCGACAATTCATTACAAAATTAATATATCTGATTATGAAACACATTCTTCCACCAGATTATTATATAAAAAATTAAAATAAACTTGCAAATGACCAATTATTTTTATTACTAAAAGTGTCTACCTATATGAGAATGTTCTTGCCATTTTTCATCAAGCAATACTGTGACAGCATGTCCCTGATATCATAAAAGCGCGTACACTAGCCATGCAAACTAGCCATGCGTACCGCTGTGGGCATAAACAGTTCTTTGTCACAAATTAAAATCTTGTCAAAAGTTTCACCGACCTGCATACAAGGAGAAATAAAAATCTCCAGTCGGTCATAATCCTTTGATGATCATGCAAATTGAAATGAAAACAATCATCTCTATTGTGCCTACAAGCAAAATTTGACACACTTTAACTAAGTCAAGGCCAATAACTCTGAAAACGATCATCTGATTGCTACCAATTTCGAAGTTGACTGAGAACTCGTCAATATATACATGCATGCCGAGTTTCATCACAATCTCTACCATGTCTACAAGCCAGATTAGACACGTTTTTAGTAAATCAAGTGCAATAACTCTCAAATCCTTTTTACAATTAATACCAAATTTGAGACAAAGATCTCATCAATACATACATGCATACCAAGTTTCATCAATATCAAATAAAAACTGTAGCCCTATGCCTAAATACAAGCAAAATTTGACACATTTCTTTGTCAATGGCAATTAACACAATTCATCCAAGATAGCTTGCGAGGCAAGGCAACATACGGCCACTGGCAGCTGTCAGAAATGATAAAACAGTCTTTAGAGACTAAAGTACGAATTTTTTCATATTGAAGAAATTTTATTAGTTTGAATTCAATTACATATATAAATATGCCAGTTATTTATGATGAGTAATTCTACAAAATTTTTTAAAATCAATATCAACAAGTCAAATACAACAAACAATTAAATCACACAGCTCTAATCAAGGGCAAAAAACAACTTTTGAGGCGTGTTTACAAAGTCAATGGCAATAACTCAAAAAAGGTTCATCAAAAATATCTCAAGTTAGAACTTGTCCGAGATCTTATCAATTCCAATGATCACACCAAGTTTCATCAAAATCGGTTAAAACTGTAGCTTCTATTATGCCCACGAACAAATTTTGACACGTTTTTTTCAAGGACAATAACTCAAAAACATTTCATCGAAAATGCGTCAAGTTAGAACTTGTCCGAGATCTTATCAATTTCAATGATCACACCCAGTTTCATCAGAATCGGTTGAAAACTGTAGCATCAATCCTGCTCACAAACTATGTTTATCAAATTTCGACACGTTTTAACAAAGTCAAGGGCAATAACTCAAAAACCGTTCATCGAAAATGTGTTAAGTTAGAACTTGTCCGAGATCTTATCAATTCCAATGATCACACCAAGTTTAATCAGAATCGGTTGAAAACTGTAGTTTCAATCCTGCTAACGAACTATTTTAACAAATTTTGAATGCGTTTTAACAAAGTCGAAGGGCAATATCTCAAAAACCGTTCATTGAAAATATGTCAAATTCACACTGGACCGAGATCTTAATATAAGCATGCATACCAACTTTCATCAACATGAGATAAAAACAGTAGCCTCTATCATGTTTACAAGTGATGTGAACGAAAGGAAAAACAAAGATTATGATTTCATGTGATTTTAATTAAATGTGGTGTTATGACTTATATCGATGAAGGAAATGAAATGAATGGAGTTTTATTTATATTGATGAGAAGTTGGTCAATTTTCACCCTTGATATTAGGGCTGTGTGATTTAAAAATTTGATGTATTTGGGTTATTGATATTGATTTTAAAACAATTTGTGGAATTACTCAGCATAAATAACTGCCAGTAAATATATATATCATTGAATTCAAACTAATAAAATTTCTTTAATATGAGAAAATTTGTACTTTAGTCACTAAAGACTGTTTTATCACTTCTGACAGCTGCTAATGGGCGTATGTTACCTTGCATGGTAAACTATCTTTATTAATTATAACTGATGATTCATCCTTACACAAGTGTTCACTTAAGAAGACAAAAATCTCAGTGAAATTGTTAATTATCACGCAAAAATGATTCTTATCCAAAATATAAAGATTAAGACATATTTTAAGTTATTGTCCTTTACCTCTACTCTTGAATTGATCTCGACATCGTCAGACATTTGTACTTGTGCAATATAGTTTTGTCACTTTTGCAAAATTGATAGTGTGGGATGCATACTTATTTAACCACTGGTCACTATTAAACACAAATATTAGCCATAGGATGAGGATACTCTGAGACGTCCATTCCTTTAATTAACAAGTACATGAAAAATCTATAAAATCTATTGAAATACTGACCTTTGGACCGTCTGATTCATCATCATCATCATCTCGCACAGCCAGAATACTTTCTTCTGGTAAATCACTATGTAAAAAAAAATATAGATTTATTCAAAATAAATAACTGGAAAATCAAAAAAAAGATAGCCATGCAAACCAAGTGGACAACATTATGCTTCCATACTACATGCTGGCATATAAAAAACAAAAGAATGCATAAAGAATTGTTGCCTGAAGAGTGAGCTAATGGAGTGAATATGTTAAGATGGAAACAACATTTTCGTGAAAAATTATCAGATCCTCACTAAAATCAATAGGGATCTTCTTCATAATGACATTGACCCACAAAATAAAAATCAAAAGAATCCATAAAGAATTGTTGCCTGTAGAGTGAGCACGAGTTGCACAAAATAGTTAATAGAGTGAAAACGCTAAGTCGGACACAATATTTCTATGAAAAATTATCAGATCATCAGGAAAATTAGTAGGGATTATCTTCATAATGACAATGACGAACAAAATAAAAAGAATCTGTAAAGAATTGTAGCCTGTAGGGTGAGCACAAGCCAAATGTGAACGAACGGACTGACGGGATGGTTATAATATAAGCTATATATAGTATTTATGGGCGTATAAAGATCAGGAAAAAGGTACCTAACAATTTCTTTCAGAGTAACTCAATGGTTGAGAATTTCACTATCACGTGACATGTTAACTAAAAGTTATTACTAGTTTCTTAGTAAGATGATATCCAGTAAAATTTTCGTTGTTACCAATAAGAAATAAATATATATCAGTAGTCATACCTAATATCAGAATTCTGTGAGGATGACAGCTGATCATCACTACTGCCCTCTAGTGGGAAATTTATTGTCTGTATTGGCGGCTTGGTAATTTTCTTAGAGGAAGGTTTTTTAACAGTTTTTGTTTGTTTGGCAGGTGCTTTCTTGGTTCCTCTTGTAGACTTTTTGCTTTTTATCTCCTTTTCTTGTATCTTTTCTACTTTCTGCTTCATTAAATTCAATTTTTCTGCATCAATTTCACAGTCTGAGTCGGTTTCATCTGAAATGTGAAATTTCTCAAATTTAAGATTAAAATTTAAACATTCTGTTTCAAACACAATTTTGAATTTTGAATTCATACGCAACACATGGTGCTTGGAATCAATCTATTGCCAATTCAGATAATTGGTCAATGTAACCTATAAAGTTACACTTAGAGTGGTTTTTTTTATTGACAACGCTGGATTAACTATCAACAGGACAAGCAGCAGTTTCATTGTCTTCTACTCTGTTAGTATGACACTGTCAATGCTTATAATAGTGTAATATGTTAATATTAGATTGCCTTGATGTTCAATACACTTTCAATATACTAATATATCACTGGTCTTAAAATAGAACAACCTCTCACTAAAAATGATAGTGGTCAAGTCCGAACATTGGTCAGTGAGAAGTCAGGTATTAGGTATTTTAATGACTAGGTGTACTAGTTTATTGGAATCTGATTATTTTCTGGGCATCTTATTTTATACCATGTTTGGATGTGGATACATTATCATCAGTCACTGTAAAGAAAAATTGAATAGCAAAAAAATGCTACATGTAGAAGCAAACTATTTCCACAATATATTTCATTCTACTTACATTGATGTGTTTCATGATATATTGTAGAGAGAACATCTTTCATACGTTTCTTACAGGCAGGACGTAAACCATATTTATTTATCTGTTTCTGAAAATATATTCTAAATCTAAATACAATTTCAGATAGAGATGGAAGCAAACAAAAACTGGGCACTACTTACATATGAATATAATATAAAATATTTACAGAACCAATGATTGTTCTTCAATATATCCAATATATATATAATTATAACTTAATAAACACTGATAACTATATCTTGATATCATTATGAACCAATAAACCCTGATAACTTTATCTTAATATCATTATGAACCAATAAACACTGATAACTTTATCCTGATATCATTATGACCCAATAAACACTGATAACTTTATCTTGATATCATTATGACCCTATAAACACTGACAACCTTATCTTGGTATCATTATGACCCAATAAACACTGATAACTTTATCTTGATATCATTATGACCGAATAAACACTGAAAACTTTATCTTGATATCATTATGACCCAATAAACACTGAAAACTTTATCTTGATATCATTATGACCCAATAAACACTGATAACTTTATCTTGATATCAATATGACCCAATAAACACTGATAACTTTATCTTGATATCATTATGACCCAATAAACACTGAAAACTTTATCTTGATATCATTATGACCCAATAAACCCTGAAAACTTTATCTTGATATCATTATGACCCAATAAACACTGATAACTTTAGCTTGATATCATTATGACCCAATAAACCTTGATAACTTTATCTTGATATCATTATGACCCAATAAACCTTGATAACTTTATCTTGATATCATTATGAACCAAGAACACTGATAACTTTATCTTGATATCATTATGACCCAATAAACACTGACAACTTTATTTTGATGTCATTATGACCCAATAAACACTGAAAACTTTATCTTGATATCATTATGACCCAATAAACCTTGATAACTTTATTTTGATGTCATTATGACCCAATAAACACTGAAAACTTTATCTTGATATCATTATGACCCAATAAACCTTGATAACTTTATCTTGATATCATTATGACCCAATAAACACTGACAACTTTATTTTGATGTCATTATGACCCAATAAACACTGAAAACTTTATCTTGATATCATTATGACCCAATAAACACTAACTTTATGATTGACCGGTCATTGTAAATATCTAGAATGATTGTGGATCTTGTTATCATTATGGGGAAATAGACTCTGGTTTATCATGTGACAAGACAAATTATTCGGAGTAGCGGGTTATCAACATCTCGTCACATGATAAACCAGCGTTTATTTCTCCATAACGATAACAATGTCCACATTCATTCCTTAAATACATAAGTAATCAACATTTTTCTGAACAGTAATGAAATAAATATACCCTGTGATATTGTTTTTTTCAGTCAGACATGTATCTGCAAGTTTTAACCCTCTAGTATAAGGCATGTTAGAAGTTAAAATACCTGTAATTGAGGTGTATTCATGGCATCATAGTTAGGCATTGGAGTAAACGGCGAGGGAGCCACCCATGGTTTCTTTGCCCTCCTCTTCTTAGCACTTTCAGATAAAGTTGGTGTTTTAAAATTAGTCTGAAAAAAAATCAAAAGGTTATTTCTAAGATTCGGGAGTTCTTCCCTTCACTTAAAAATTGATTATATATCCTTCAGATTTTTATTTATATCAATATATAATATTACATATTATGTAAGTTTTTTTTTGGTCAAATTAAAATAAAATACCTGAATAATTTCTTCATCTCCACGTTCATTCAAAGCATCGTCAAAGTCATCTTGAGGTATAAATATGTCATTGTTGCCATCAACATTTATTTCACTTTCTGGGTCTGCTGCACTCTTTTCCATAGAAGTCTACGAATATAAGAACAGTAGTAGTAGTCATAATTTGTTTAACAGACCTATCAATTCTGCTCATGACTTTACTAATTAAAGTATCAGAGTATTTGAGGTGTAGATTTCAGCAATGAAACTGGAATATAACTTGTCTTAGTCACACATAGAGATTCATTCCTGGATGTACATTTCTTTGACCAATAGCTAGCAGGGGTTGAAAACTTAAGACGTGTATGCAAAGAAAATCCCAGTATACCATGTTTTAAAATCTATTCAGAGTAAAGAAAGTTCACTCAGTATAAAGAAGATTTGGGTCAATCAAATCAATGAAACCAATAGAAAAAGAAAACAGTTCACAATCAGTAAATTTAGTACAGTAGTGAACACATCTGTTAGATTTGGGAAAAGAGAACACAGCTGATCCTTGAGTTAACATCAATAACAAGATCAATTATATATTGCTATTGGTAGACCTAGCCAGTTTTGAGAAGAAGAAAATAATTCCTTGTTATTTTACATATTGACATTCCAAAGCTTCACTTAAAAACATTTAGACAACAAATCGTACTAAGCTTTAAAAATATAAAATAATTCTTGGTTTTCCCCAATTAGTACTGGCATGTTAACAGAGACAGAGGACAATTATCCATTGGTAAAAAATTGGCTAATAACAAATTTGACTTGACTTGATATGACTGTATCACCATATCAGTTAGCACTCTAATATAATTAAAGGTAAATTTTGTTTAGGTTGAAAAGTATTTTTGCTCAAATTTATATACATACTCTACATCAAAATCTAGACAAATGTGTTCTTTAACATATATGAAAGTTTTAAAGATGGGTTTCCTTGTTTTATGTAAATAGAATATTTAGGAAATATTTTCAGGTATAATTTATGTTTTTTATAATGAAAATTTTGCCCCATTAATCTTAATTTCAAGATTAAGTCAACAACTGTGAAATCGTACCTTATAAGGACTCCCTTCTTACTGTACCTGAACTTGAATAGAAGTTTCTGAGGGTCAACCACCAGTATTCTGAAGAGTATTTACCTGGTTGATCGTGATTTTCTCATGCTGTATTCTTGACAGACATTTTGCTCTCCTTCACTGAAGAGTTCATCATCACTCTCAAACAAGTTGGCACTTAAATCTGTGACAGCCATTGTACAAGTTGTTATAACAGAATAATTTAGAATATTCAAATCAACCTTGCCTTTTTGACATCCATCTTGTTCAGTGTGACTCACCGAATTTGAAAAGTCCTCTGAAATATCATCTGTTACATCCTTGGGTAATGAATATGAATTGCACTGTTCCCGAAGATAGTTGTCTTGAAAGCTTGATTGGCTGTTAGAGTTACTTCTCCGCCTTTTGTCCACAATATCTAAAATGCTGCAGTTGTCCTCACTATCTGAGCATGTGTCATCTGTCTTAGGAATCACACAGCAATCCATACTTCCACTGACAGCCTTAAAATCTAACGGGTTCGATTTACATACACTAATTTCTTCATTTTTAGTGTCTCTATCACTATCGCAATCATCTGATTCACCAACAACACAATTTGGAGGCATACTTCCACAGGGTGTCTCATCACCACAAGTACCATCTTTTGGTTCAATTTTTTTTTGGGTTGTGTCTATTTCCTCATTCAAATTTTCAGAATTGTCACTCAAAATATCATTTGCTTCTACGTTGTTTAGAAGATCATAAGAATTCTGCCTTTTGATCTGTTCACGCTGGGTATAAAACATTTCCCTCCAATCATCTTCTTCACGGTCATCTTGACCTTTGACCTCACCACCTTCTGAATGACCTTTTACTCCTTCATCTTCACTGCCAAATTCTGATGAGGAGCTCCAGAGGTTTTCAAGAACATCCAAACCGTTCTCCTCTTCTTCCTCTGTGTCCTTGGTTCCTGGATGTTCTTGTCTAGATTTCATGACTGTCTGACAAATATTTTCCAGTTCATCCAAACCAAGGCTAAAAAAACAAAGCAGTATAAAGGACTATTTTGATGACATTATTCAATATCTAAATTAACTAGAATCACATAACTCTGGCTTTTATTTTAGAGGAATATACTATACTATGTGGCTTCATAATAATGAGTGCAATCACTTTGCAATTCATTAAATTCCTTTTTCTAAGAAAAGTCAAATTATTTCAAATGTCAAAAAATGTTTTGATTTGTGACTTACCTCGAAGATAGGTGTATGACACCTTCTAAGCACCCAGGATTTAACAGGACAGAACCTGAATAAATATATTTCAATACTGTAAGCACAACATCACTGGGTGTACTGGATAAATCTAACTGATTTCTATCTGTTACTTTCTATAAACAGAATTTTAGGATGATAAAAATACATATAATACTTAACATTAAGGTTTGAGTGTACTCCATGCTTTGATTAACCTTGACAAAATGCTTAAATGAAAAAAAAATTTAAAAACCCTTTTAACAGCAGTCAGTTGATTGACCACATAGATGGGTTTTCCTTAATTTTAATATTCCTAAATTCTTAATCATTACATTATATTCTTATTGATTATAATCAAAAGTCTTAACCAATCATAAATGTCCATGTATGTACAGTCTGGATATACAAAAAAAGACCTTTTGACCTTTCTTGATCGGTCACTCGTTGGTATTCTGCTAGTAATTCTCTTCTAATTTAGCTAATTATGAATTAATTATGCACATGTGTCATTAGAACACCTCTACTTTCTATTCATATAAGTATAATAAAGGAACCTGTCTTTAATACAAGTTTTACTGTCCACTAATTTTCAAAATCAGAAATGATTGTCACAAACCTTGTAAATGTCACCCTCCAGAAAACAATCCTTTGGATTTTAAGATATTGATCATATGAAGCTCTTCATATTTACCTGTAACATTTGAGGGCATCTGGAACGCAGAAATATTTTATGAGCTGGGATAGGTCTATTAGAAGTTACTATAGTAACATCACTGTCAGTAGGGCTATCCACCATATTTAATAAAGATTGTTGTAATGATACCACACATGGTGTTAAAATTTCTTTCTGGAATAAAACATTTCAAGAAATGTATTTGCAAATTCCAAGTCACTAGCAGTGAAATGAGCTTGAAAATGTAAATTTGAACAGAAAATCTCAGACCTCATGCATGTGGCACCAATATCAAATCAATCTTCAATCCTCACAACCGATAATCGAATGCATAAATAAACCAAATGGTCATTAAGTAAGCTAAGTTTAATAAATCTCATCTAACATGTATTTCAATTGGTTCCTCTGGACAAAATCCACTGTTGTGTAAATCATCATTCTGTTGTTGAATCATTGAATATTCCAGATGGCTGCCAGAGCCGTCTGCTTCAGCTGCTAACTCAGCCAATAGAACTGCTGTTTGTGTGACCACAGGAGAGGAGGAAAGCGGTAGTTCAGATTTCAATGTTGTGTTCACTTGGTTTTTCTTCTGGTCAACAGACTGTTGGTATTCTAAGCTCTTTTGCTGATTCACCAAAATTTCTTTCTGGAAATGAAGCAAAAACCTGGGTGTGTCTATTGAATAATTCTGGGTAAATGCTTTGAATAGATAAAATATCATATAATTTAACAACTGTTATATGAAATAAACTAATGAACAAAGGACTAATCACTCTAATAATCACAACAAGCAAAGGATTCATGATCCAGACTTACCTCCAATTCCTCTGAATTGCGTCTGCCTGGAATGGTAGACATTCTCCGCAGCTTACTTCCTGCCTTAACTGTTGCTTTGGAAACAGAAGGCATCAAGGCAGAGACATAAAATTTATCAATTCCATTTTCATCTTTATCAGAAAGCCCACTTTCTGTCCACAACCTTGGCTACAAACGAAGAAATTATTGTGAGATATGCTCCATATATTCCCCGC